TATAAAAACTTTGCATCCTATTACCGATACTTTCAGTACAATAATACTATCCCAAAATACTTTTATAAATATAATAAAAAGTTTAAATATCTAATATTTTATTAATATTTTTATATCCAATTTGAAAACTAATTAAATAAATCTAGTTTAATTCTATAAAATATAAAGAATATAATCAATTATTTCTTTTTTTTTTTTGAAAATTCTAATAAACTTTATAAACTTTCTAGTAATTATTAATTATTTTGAGTAATTATATTTAATTTCTTCAAAGATTCTTTAATCTCTCACTTTCATATTATTAATTAAAGCTATATTCCCCTTTAGAATTATTTTTCTCTTTTTATTGCTATATATAAATTATATTATATAAAAACTAATAATATAGGGCTTTATAATTAGCCACAAATCTAAACTATTTAGTATAAAATGGATTGAATAATATTAATATTATAAGTGGGAGACAAGCAATAAGAATATATATAATATCCCTAGTCGCCTTTCCCCTAATCTATATTACAATCATAGAAGAATGGAATACATGACTATGCTGGCACCTCTGTTAGTATAGTCCATTCCTAGTACCCCCTGGGAGGTCGTGACGAGCCCCTGCGGCTTGCCCTCTGGATGTAAATTAAAATAAATAAATAAATAAATAAATAAATCTAGTTAATTCATTACTAGTATCTACTCTAATAATTATTAAGAATAATATATTTATATAGATTGAAAATAAGCAATTTAAATAAATTAGTTTTATAATTAAAAATTGAGAGGAATTAATTTCTGATTATTTATTAAAATTTAGTAGTATTATTTTTATATTTGAAGAAAATAATATTTATTTTGATTAATAGAAATAATGTAAAAATCTATAATTTGTTTTTATAGAATCTATAAATATTTATGGAATATGTAACAAAGTCTGAAAGAATATTCTTATATATAATTAATATATTATATAATAAATCTTTAAAATATATATTATAATTATATATTAATCTGAAATATTTTTTGATTTATTTATAATAGTATAAATAATACAATTCGATAAGAATAGTATTATAGTATTAAATAAATATATTAAATAGCAAAAAGAAAGTTTTATTAAAAGATTTAACTATATACTATTAAACTTAAATTCATTTAAGATTATTCATTCCAAATAGATTATGTAATTATTATAATAAATAAATATAATGATATTAATATTATTTATTAATTATTTGTTAAATATAAAAAAGTTATATATTATATTTTAGCTTCAAGTTATATAAATTAATCTAAGAATTTGATATTGAGATAATAATTACTTCTATAATTAATATTATTCTCAGTAAAAAGATTTTATTAATCTTATATACTAATTCAAAGTTATTATATAATTTACTCATCAAACTAAATACGATTAATAAGAAAAGAGTAATAATTTATATTATAAGATTATTAAAGTTATATGAATTAATGATTCAATTAATCTAATTAATACAATAATAATAAAAAAGCTATATCAAATTCTCACTAATCTAATTAATATAAATAAAATTAATAATAAAATAATAAAATAAATAAAAAAATTAAAAAAGGGAATAAGTTTATTAATAAAAGATTAGGAATTTTAATTAATAAATAAAGGATTTTTATAACTTTATGAATTTCTTTTTTAGCTATATATATTAAAGATTATAAAAAAGAATTCCAAATATATAAATAAGAGTATTTATTTTAAAGGAATAATTTCAAAAAATGACTTTAATATAATAACTATTATATCAAAGGGATTAAGCGAATATGAAAGAGATTAATTCTTTCAATAATATCTATATAAGGTCTATTACTTTCCTATATAGCTAGCTTTTTAAATAGAATACAATTAGATATACAGGACCTATGAACACGTGGGTACTACGTCTTCCGTATCCTACTCGAACCAACAGATAGAGATTTAATAGCCCAATTCACAGGAAAATCGGTTTCGATATACTAATTGAAAAGATGAATCTGTTCTTGAACTATTAGAAATGAGGGTATAATTTCATTTTCCTCTTACTTCTATTATTTCGTTCAGTACTAGTTACAACTATTCCGGAGTATATTATACTCATTATAAAGCCTATTTCATTGAAATTATAGAAATCGCTATTCAAAATATTATATTTCGCTTATATATTCATAATTAATTAAAATCATTTTTTAATAAACTTAGAATCTTTATAAAAAGCTTTTTAAAAATTATAGATATAATTAAAACATATTTTTAATTCAATTTAATACTTTACAAATTGATATATTTAAAATTTCCTAATATACTTTGTATTCCTCAATTGGAAAATATAATTTATTATATTTTCTATATTTCTTAATTTAAATCAAAATCTCTCAAATTTATATTAAGAATATATTGAACAATTACTTTCTCTTCTAATTCTATAATGTTATAACAATTTATCCAAATTTCTATATAAAATTGTTAGAAATAGAAAGTAAGTTATACATAAAGAGTAATATATTGAAGATATTGATTAGGTCTGTCTATCCGGAAAGCCTGGACGGAGGAGTTTTATAGAATGTATACGTATCATATCAAGTGTCATATCATATGTTTTTCAACAAAAATAATGAACCATTTATTCTGTGTTGAAGAATTATATAAAGGATATTATAAAGTTTAAAAGCTTTTCAAATACTTGGTTTTTTATTTGTATAAATAATTTTAATAACAAAAAAGATTCAGGCTTTTTGATTAATTGATTCTATAATCATTGATTGATAAATTGCATATAGAAGTTGAAGATATAAATTAAGGGAAAAATAACCCACTCGATGATATGACCCACTCGATGATAAACTACGTTATAGTATTGAATATCTTACTTTATTAGTAAAAATCTCTTAGAAATCTATTTTATATTTTTGAAAATACTCCTTAATAACTAGTTTTGCTTTTCTTCTAACTAATCTATTAAACCAATTTAGGTTTTTTCTTAGAATATATCTATTATTTAATAACTTTTAGCCTATAGATAAAGCTTTATTTATAATTTCAAAAATATTATTATCCTTGAGATTTTATAATTTAAATTTAATTATATTTATTTATACTTAAGCATTTTTTTATATAACATTCTTGAGCTTTATTATCTTTATTAATATTAATTTAAAATTATTAATTAAAAAACCCTTAGAATATATAGAAATAGTAATTAATACTTTAATTTATTAAATAATTTGATTATTGAAGATTTTCTTTAATTATTTATTATAATTTTAATTCGGAATTTTTCAAATTAAAAAAACTACTATAGCAATTCTCATTCTTAAAATCTTTGTAATTATTTATACTTTTTATTTTATAAATATAGATATATATATATATCTATTAATTCTCTAATCTATACTAACCCTCTAACCTATAATTATTACTATCATAGCATTTGCGAAGATATCTACTATATCAAAGAATTGATTTAAATCTATTACTCTAAAATCTAGAAATCTAACTACTCTCTAATATATATATTTTGATGTATATTCTATACTTGTAGTCACACCCTTTTTTTTATAGTAATAATATACTTATCATATAAAAATGATTTTCTCTTCCTCTCTATCCTAAAATGTTTTAATATAGACTTCTTCTAAAATTCTTTAAAAAAATATCTATATTTATTAAAATTAGTATCAACTATTTTAATGATATTTTTAATATAAAGATTCAGAAGATAATAAATATTATTCTCATTTAATTTAATTATAATATACTTTCCTTTAAATATTCTAAATTCGAATTTTTTAAATATTACATCAGATTATTAAGGATTTTTAATCTAAGTGTTAGTTCGAGAAGAATACAGAAAATGTAGCACTCATATATTATAGATCCTATATATCTAATTATATTTTATTTAAAGAACTAGCTAAATAAGAAAATAATAGACTTTATATAAATATTATTGAAAAAACTAGTTTTTTTGGTATTTATTTAATTCTTTTGATATAATAGTTATTATATTAAAGTTATTTCTTTGAAGTAAATACTTTTTGTTTATATAAAAAATCTTGAAAAATTAGAATTTATTTTAAAATATATTATTTAATAATTATATTTGTATTAATTTGTTATTTAATTAATAATATTCTATTTAAATAATTTATTTAAGTTTTTATATTATAAAAAATTATAAAAGTTAAATATCTCATTTTTGAATTACTTCTATTTTGAATTATTTCTTTATATTGAAAATCATTTTTTTAATTTATTAATATTTCTATTAATATTAAATATATTTTAATAAAAATCTATATATATATAATTCAAATTATTACAATTTTATTCTAAAGATTTCAAATTTTTAGGATTCTTATAAATTGATTTTTAAGATTTCAAAATATCGATTTTCAATTTATATAAATATTATATATAAATTTAAAATTTTATAAAATTTATAATAACTTTTAAGGAAAAATCATTAAAAATAAATTATAAAGTTTTATAATATATTTATACTATATTGATTTCAAAAAATTGTGAAAAAATAGAAACCTTTTTATAAATAAATATTTAAATAAATATTTTCAAAATTATAAGGATTATTTATATTATTTTAAGTTTATTATATATTATATTTCTATATTTATTTATCTTTTTAAAAGAAATTAAATTTTTATATATATTTAAATTTGAAATTTTCAAAAATATATATAATAACTTTTAATTATTATTATTAAAAAGTTATAAATAATTATATAAAAATTTTAAATTTATATATAATTTTTATATAAATTCGAAAATCGATATTTTAAAGTTTTAGATTTTAATTCAGAAAAATCCCAAAATTTTAAAAATTCTAATATAGATTCAAAATAGTTTGAATTATATAAATAGAAATTTTTACTAAATTATATTCAATATTAATAAAAATATTAATAAATCAAAAAAGTGATTTTTGGTATAAAAGAATAACCCAAAACAGAGGTGGCCCAAAAGTAAGGTGGTCGACTTATTGAGACTGCCTGCAAATTCTCGGACCAGTGCCCTTGGTAAGGGTTGTGGCTCCGGTGACACTCGAGAGAGTTATCGCAGTCGTATCTGTAGCTTCCTTAACCTTGTAGATAAGCTCTCTATTGAATGTGAAGTTCGGCTTGATGGCACGGATTCCTCTTTGTACTGCCTCAAAAAGTTCATCATTTTTTGCCCCGATGGTTATACTGTCAGCGCCAATAGCAGCCTGCATTGCAGTTTTGGCATCTGTTTCCTCGTTACCGCACAGAATAAGGACGGCGCGGCGGAGTGTTGTACCCATGTAGAAGAAGAGAGCAGTGCAGCCGCTCAGATCGGCGACAGTTGCTTTCCCGCCATTACTCTTAATTTGCATTGCGTCGACATACTCGTTCTCCAGGACTTGGTTTGCATTAGTGCCGGCGTACAGTATTCTAGGCTCGAGTCCGTTACGTTTCGTGGCGCCGCACTTCTTCTTGGGCTTGGCGCGAGCATCTACGTGTTTCAAGTCCCGAGACTCAATAGCGAAGTCGTTGACGGCGCGGACGTCAGTAGCGGCGATGCTCAGCGTCCCAGTTTGGGTTGGGAATGCAGCAATCCCATTGAAGAGGAGGGAGATTGCAATGAAGAATTTCTCGAAAGATACCATAGTGAATGTTTTTCCAACTTTTATATGTTAAAAATAATGAGCGAATAAAAGCGCAAAAGAATGTGATACTCAGTGAAGATGAGCTGACGAAAGAAAACTGACACTCGTGAGAAGAAATTTTGATTTTTTGTTGATGGAGATGGACAGGATGATGAAGACTGGAAAGAAAGCAGACTGCACGACTTATATACTCACAAATTGATAGTATCCCAGTTTCTATTCTCATATAGTGATGGTTATGTTGGTGAGCATCATGTCTGGATTGTACACGCCCTAAGATTCATCTTTCTAATCTTTCTAATTTTACACTCTGCATCTGTAAGTCGTGCCATAGTTTACAAGATCTACCATTCGCAAATGAAACGTTGGAGCTTGCTCATTGTCAGGATGGCGGCGCCGACGGCACAGTTCTCGTCGACTCGTACGAATGGCCAGCTTCCGCCCCACCAATCCTACAGCTGAGATTTGATGATTGTACTAATGTTATCTTCAACACCCGGCTATACATATGCCGTGAATGACACTATTTCAATCCCGTGGGGTCTTCTGCTTAATTACATGTGGCACGGCATAGGGGCTAGGTGCTCAATCTGATACGTTCCTGTAAAGTGTACAAATACTTTTAAAAGTCACTGTTATGATGGATATTCAGAAGATAGAAGCAGCGACGGAATACAATTTATGACGCAGGCTATATCAAAACATTCCGTTAAGCACGATACCTCTGTACGAATCAGCAAGTCTAACCAAGAAAGCCTATACTGTACTAAGCTAACATCATTTTCTGAAGCAGTTTATTAAAACACAGTTTTGTAGATTTGATTGAACCAGAAATTCTTCGAGCGTAGCGAAGTCTCGAGGCGTTGGAGGCTCGACCTTATAAAAATAGAACATGAGAAAATGTGGTGTGGTATTATGGAATTCTTTTTTTTGTTACTATTGAAACAAGTTGGAGGCTTCTCATACGACCTTAATCCACTCGAAGAATCTTACAGGTAGACCGTAAAAATCGACGATGACAGATGTAGGCGCTGAAGTGCCTACATTTGCATCTTCCGTAAAATTGTAACATGGCGCAAGGGATAGGATATAGGATAGATATGTGATATTTCACAAGGAGGAGGAAGTTCTCAGGAGAATGCTGACTATCTTGAGACTATGTAAGGCGTGGACACTTGAGGCATCTATGCTACTGAGCCCGTGATGATTTGAATGTGAAGTTTGATTCCAAGTAGTTATTGAAATGATAAAGATCAAGATTTGGAGCAACTAAGCGTGTACCTCGAAAATGCATTTGTCGAGGCTACTAGTTGTTGAAGCCTCGTCAATCTCTATTACTAGGCTTACAGTTAGTTGATTGATAATGATTGGGTTATTAGTAATTGGGTTAATAATGAACCGTTCTGAGGTTTCAATCCTACATAGGAAGATGCGATGTAGAAAGGCACAATGCAAGAGGATACCATGTGGGAAGGTACGATACAATTGCATCAATCAGAGAGTTAGACTAAAAGGCTTGTGCCATTTTTAGCTGGTATAATATTCCTTGAGCAGATTGTGGAAACAAACTTCTGCAGTTTTGACATGAATTGGGATACGAAATTTGATTTCAGGTAATACAAATACTAAGAATGCTAATATTACAATCTGGAAATGAAAATAATTGGCTTAACAGCCAAACCGCTACAGGGTTTCAATCCTACATAGGGAGGCGCTGTACCAATCATGTACCGAAGTACGAATTGCTGAGTATCGATACAGTGATAGCGTGCCATCAGCACCGTGTTGCTTTGCGGTTGGCTAAGCGCTACTCTGCATGTGACCAAGCGCTGCCTGGGTAAAAGCCCCAGTCGAGTACCGATATATCATATGAGCTTTCCTTCATACACTCAAAGAGTTACTCGTTGGATTTAGAAAAATCGGTCTTTTTGGCCTACTGTGTCATTGTTTCAACAGAGGTTGCATTTAGAGAATTTAGGTAGTCTTAATTTCCTCAATTATCATTTTCATTCATAAGACACAGGACCAACAATTACAAGCGCGACCAGGATGGCTTTTCTTTCCTTTCCACTCGAAGTACTACAAAAAATCGCAGCCTTTCTCGTAACAGCGCATCGGCCTAGTCTCTACGCTTTTACCTTGACAAACAAGGCTTGCCATGCGGCTGCAATTTTTCTCGTCTTTCGGAAAATCGTTATCACGGTCGACGATCGTAAAGAACTTCGTCGCGATGTTGATAGACTGATTGAGACTCTCTCTCGTACAGATTCCTTTCGGCACATTCGACGCATAACTATCAAAGGAGCTTTAAGACCCAGCGCCAAGAGGACAGAAGGTTTTGGTCGACAAACGCCTTGGTGGCATGATATTGGCCTTGCCGAGGTACTACTGGATGAGGAAGTAGTCTATTATGACGACCTATATACGGTATATGATGGGGGCGTTATTGAAAAGTCTTCTGAGGAGGATATGGCGTGGGCGCCCGTTGTGAACTTGCTCCAAGCTAAAATCCACCTGGAAGATTTGGTCTATGACTGCCAGAGCCAATTTCCGCCAAGTCTTCTCAGAATACTTCACGAGCAGCATCCTCAATGCAGGCTTCATCACCTCACGTTCCGATTCCAGACTCTATTGTGGGGTATTCCCTATTCTTACGAGATGGAGCTTGCTACATCACCATCTTTGCATAGAGTAAAGGTTACTTGCGCTTTACGCGATAGTCATGGCGACGATGATTTCAACTTGGAGGCTATGATGGAGCTTACTTCTGGGCTTGCTCCCAATTTGAAGGAGGTCATTTTCTTAAATCTCCTTCCAGGAAGCTCTTTAAAATCAGTCCGTCCCCGAGGGTTGTGGCAAGGCCTTCCAGGCTTTACTGGTGGAAAGGTAGGAACCCTAACATCACTGTCACTCAAGGGATATTCACGTTTGAATTCCCCAAAAATGCTACAGAATTGGGCCAGATATACAGACTTTGCTTTTCTGGAGCACCTTACCCTCGGAGGTGGCTACAACACAGGTTGTTACGGCGCGAAGATGTCTGGGCTCAGTGGCGAGACAATGGAATGGGTTTCCCAGAACCATTTCTTTCCCCGAGTCAAAACACTCAATGTTTATCTTACCCGCGACGATGATTTTCACAAGAAACCGAACTACTGTGAGCACGCAGTTTCTTTTTTCCATGTCTTCGAAGCCCTTGAGGAGCTATCCATCAATGGGTCGATGGACTCACCAATCCTAGACACTGTTCTCTCCCATCATGGACAGACACTTAAAAAACTCAGCTTTCATCCCTTTGAGAACTATTTTGAAACCTCTGGTGGTCATAATCGACTGGATATGCCCTTAGAGTTCACCCAAGATCGTGTTTTACAAATTGAAGCTCAGTGTCCGATACTAGAAGAGCTCACTGTTCCAGTCAAACGCAACAAGTCCAGTGCATCCGAAGCCAGAATATACAGATGCTTCGGTAGGATGAAAAGCTTACGATCTCTCTTTCTTATCCTGGATTGTTCGAATCGGCGGGTTACTCGGAACAGTACATATAACCCCAAATTCGATGCAGAGGACCAAAAGCCTCTAGACAATGGGTCACACCCCTTTTTGAAGAGGGGTGAACTGAAGGAGACCTTTATTAATTGCGCAGTAGACGAGTTGCTGGCTCGTTCAATCTGGGGGACTATTAACCAGAACAAATCCGGTAGACGGCTGGAGCGGCTTAAGTTGTGGGCTACAGGAGCGGGCGAATACGGCGTCAACAGAAGTCTGGGATGCACCTTTAGTGCAATGGTTCAGAGTCTGGCTCGATCATGGCTATTTGAGCGCGTTCCACGAAACGATGAAGAAGAAAGCTTCACTGTTCGAGAACTGGGGCATGGAAAGAAGGCCAACGATCAACAGAATCAAAGCTATTTGGCCTACCGCCATGATCCTGAGATTTGGGAGGTACTCCGTTCTATTTGGCCGGCTAAAGAAGGTAGCAGGGATTGGCAAGATGACTGGCTGAGCTTTCCTCTGCAGGTAGAGGATTTTTCTTACTAATAATAAAGCATGAAGATCGGATTATAAGCTTGACCTAACATTTTATCATTATAATCACGTCTTAATTCATTTTTTGCTTTGTAATAGAAGGATCAGAAGACCTATACATAGCTACTATAATTATTGAACTTAGTTATAAGTCAACTACCCCACTTTCCGACCACCCCCTGTTTTCGATTATCTAAAAAAATCATATTATCTATACTTAAAACTTTAATAACTTAATAACTATTGAACTTTAATAAAATCACTTATAAAATCACTTTCTATAATATTAAAACTATTATTTATTTTAATTTCATAATCTCTTATTTTAATTTATATATATTTTATAACTCTAATTCTTATAAATTTTGAATTTGAAAATATTATAATTTTTTGTTTTTTTTTAAATAATATTTTATTTAATTAATATTTTAGTTTTCTAATCTTATTCTTTATTTTTAAAAATTTATAACTTTTAATATTAAATTCTTTTATAATCTTATAAAATAATAATTTTTATATTAATAAATTAATTATTTTTTCTTAAATTATTATATCTCTATATTTTCTAATATCAATTTCTTTTTAAAAGATTTTCTATTAAATAAATAATAAATATATATTCCATTAAAGAATAGAATTATTATTAAATTCAGAATTAAATAATAATTTTTTTTTATTATTATTTTTAAATAAAAATCGATTTATAAGAAATTTAATTATATTTTTGAATTAAAAATTATTAGTTTATTATTCAAATTTAATATTTTAAATAATTAAATTTTCTATTTTAGTTTTCTAATAACAAAAAAGGAAATTGTATTTTCTAATTAATAAGGAATTAGATAATAAATTTAATTTATTAAATTCGATTTAATATACATTTTTTAAAAATAAAAATATAAATAAATTGAATAATTATAATATATATAATATATAATAAAAAAATAAAAGATATATATTATTATTAAAATATTCTAATATAAATATTATAATTTTATAATTTCTATATTTATTCAAAATGAAGAGTTTTGAATTTTTTAATTGAATAAAAATAATTTGAAAAATATAAATCTTTTTTAATTATTTTAAAATTATAATATTTATAATCTATTTATTTTTTATAATAATAAAATTCCAATCTTTAAATAAAATTAAATTTATTAAAAATTATTATTATTAAATTAATTTTCCTTTATATATTATAAAAGGAATAATACTTTTTTTATTAATTAAAATATATTTTATAAAAAAAATTCAAATTCGAAATTCAGATTACTTTTTTTGAATAAATTTTTAATTAATACTTCCTATTATTAATTTATTAAAACTCTAATTCTTTATTATATTTATTTTATTTATATTTTATTTATTAATTAATTTAATAATCTTAATTTCAGAAATTATAAGATTTTAGAATTATTTCTTAATAATATTAAATATAATATTTAAAACTTATATAAAATCAATTTAATATTATTTTTTAATTCTAACATTAAAATATTTTCAAAAAAAGTTATATATTTATTTCTTTTTAAATAAAAAATTCTTTTTTTATATAACAAAAAAATACTTTATTATTTCTTTAATTTAATAATATATAAAATTAATATTAAAAGCTTTTTATACTAATATTTATTCTATTAATTAATTCTTTTGAATTAAAAATAATTTTTAAAATATTTGAATATTTTTTTAATATAAAACTTTATTATATATTTAATTATAAAATATAATATATAAAATATTATAATTTAAATTAACTTTTTATATATTTATTTTATTTATAATTATTTTAAAAACTTTTGTAATATTGTTTTTGATATATTTATTCTTTATATTATAATTATAATAATATTAAAATTTCAAATCAATTGATTAAAATATTATTGAATTATTTAAAATATAAATTTTATAATTATTCAAAGTGGTATGGTTTTTGAGGTAATCAAAAAAAGGGGGTAGTCGGAAAGTAGAGTAGTTAACTTATAATCAATACTAGAGCCTCTATTATTCATGTAATTGAATAGCTTTTTCTTTTACTTTTTAAAATAAGACTTTAATGAATTAATACATATAATTACTTATAAAGATACCTTGAATCTAATTCAAATTCTAAAATCTTACTCAAGATAAATATCAGTTTATTAAAGAGTATTAATAAGACTATTAATTTCTAAACGAATTCAACTCGTTAATTGTATTATGTTTCCCATTGAGTTTAAAAAGAAATCTTCTAGAAAGGTCTTATTATAGCGATTTATAAAATTGAAAATATATTTATTCTTGATAATGAAGAAATATACCAGTGGAATGCATGTAACATTGACTGTATAGATTATATTAAGGTAAATATCTAACTACGAAGCGGAAGTGATATATATAGTACCTAAGTATACGTACTACAACTTCTAATATTTATTAAATTTTTGATTAGAAAACTCAAGTAAGTTTATATTCTATTAGCGTACTAGTTTATTATATACCTTGCCTATACTCAATAAGAGTACACTATATTATAGAGAAGTAAATATGAAATTTTAAGATACTAATTTTAGTAATTTCATCGACTATTGAATTAATAGCTGCTTGACGTGAAGGGGAAAAAAGAGCATATGCGAGGAGGGAGCAACAAGTGAATTTAATAGATATTCAGAAGAATTACGTTGAGGTAGACTTCGTCTGTATATGTATGTATAGGCAAGCATATACCGGCCTGTGAATAAAGTCAGATTCTTTCCCAGAGCGTTAGAATGAGGTAAATTATAAGACTAGGGAATGAGTGCATGATAGTTTCATTCCTTATTCATAACAGCTTTTAGTTCTCACTTCGAAATTGAAGAAGAGTTTGGCACTATCCACTAAAGGGTAAGGTGGAGGAAAAGAGCACACAGATCACTGATTAAGTCAACTACCCCACTTTCCAACCACCCCCTGTTTCCAACTACCTAAAAAAATTATATTATCTATACTTAAAACTTTAATAACTCAATAATTATTGAATTTCAATAAAATCATTTATAGAATTATTTTTTATAATATTAGAATTATTATCTCCCTTAATTTCATAATCTTTTACTTCAATTTATATATACTTTATAATTCTAATTTCTATAAACTTCGAATTTAAAGATATTATAATCTTTTACCTTTTTTTAAATAATATTTTATTTAATTAATATTTTAGTTTTTTAATTTTATTCTTTATTTCTAAAAATTTATAATTCTTAATATCAAATTCTTTTATAATTTTATAAAATAATAATTTTTGTATTAACAAATTGATCTTCTTCTTTTGAATTATTATATTTCTATATTTTCTAATATTAACTCTTTTTTAAGAGATTTTTTATTAAATAAATAATAAATATATATTTTATTAAAAAATAGAATTATTATTAGATTTAGAATTAAATAATAAAATCTCTTTATTATTATTTTCAAATAAAAATCGATTTATAAGAAATTTAATTATATTTTTGAATTAAAGATTATTAATTTATTATTCAAACTTAATATTTTGAATAATTAAATCTTTTATTTTAATTTTTTAATAATAAGAAAGAAAATTATACTTTTTAATTGATAAAGAATCGAATAATAGATTTAATTTATTAAATTTGATTTGATATATACTTTTTAGAAGTGAGAATATAAATAAATCCAATGATTATAGTATATATAATATATATAATAAAAGAAATAAGAAATATATATTATTATTAAAATATTCTAATATAAATATTATAGTTTTATAACTTTTATATTTATTCAAAATAAAAAAATTTGAATTTTCTAGTTGAATAGAAATAATTTAAGGGATATAAATCTTTTTTAATTATTTTAAAATTATAGTATTTATAATCTATTTATTTTCTATAATAATAAAATTCTAATTTTTAAATAAAATAAAATTAATTAGAAATTATTATTATTAAATTAATTTTCCTTTATATATTATAAAAGGAATAATACTTTTTTTATTAATTAAAATATATTTTATAAAAAAATTCAAATTCGAAATTCAGATTATTTTTTTTAAATAAATCTTTAATTAATACTTCCTATTATTAATTTATTAAAACTCTAATTCTTTATTATATTTATTTTATTTATATTTTATTTATTAATTAATTTAATAATTTTAATTTCAGAAATTATAAGATTCCAGAATTACTTTTTAATAATATCAAATATAATATCCAAAATTTATATAAAATTGATTTAATATTACTTTTTAATTTCAATATTAGAATATTTTTAAAAAAAGTTATATATTCATTTTTTTTTAAATAAAAAATCTTTTTTTTATATAATAAAAAAATACTTTATTATCTTTTTGATTTAATAATATATAAAATTAATATTAAGAGTTTTCTATATTAATATTTATTTTATTAATCAATTCTTTTAAATTAAAAATAATTTTTAAAATATTTAAATTTTTTTTTGATATAAAACTTTATTATATATTTAATTATAAAATATAATATATAGAATATTATAATTTAAATTAACTTTTTATATATTTATTTTATTTATAATTATTTTAAAAACTTTTATAATATTGTTTTTGATATATTTATTCTTTATATTATAATTATAATAATATCAAAATTTTAAATTAATTAATTAAAATATTATTGAGTTATTCAAAATGTAAATTTTATAATTACTCAAAGTAATGTGGTTTTTGAAATAATTGAAAAGAGGGGGTGATCGGAAAGTAGAATAGTTGATTTACTGTATTCAGAAATTAGTTATAAATATAGACAACCCTCGCCTTGAAGAAGAGATGGAGAAGTCAGCAATCTAAATCTCTACTCGAGTTTATTATTACTCGTTTCAAGTTTCTCATTTCAGTTCCGGTTTGCGTTGTATATTAATGTAATAAAAACGAATCTATTTCAGACAATATTATATACTGTACAAGCCCTCTTATAAATCTTGCAAAGCTACATCGCGAAGCTATATCCGCTGGGGGTGTCATTCTCAAGAAATTTCGAACATTAAGGTTTATTGATTTCCTAGTTAAAAGATAAGATTCATTATTGCATGTTATTTGATTCATACATTTAGCTGCATCCGTTGACGAGCTAGTCGACTCGATCCCTATATATTCCCTGACACTTCCGCCAGATCCAAAGGATCATAGGTCATAAATCAAGAAATTCTATATCTAGGTATGGGACTTCAAATTCTCAATTCTCTTATGCCTGGTTTCCAGGGATAACCAAACTGCAGTTGAAAGTGTTGCGGACAAGTATTATGTCAAAAAATTTCACAAATTTGGCATAATTCTGTCTTTGCTATAGAAAACCATGCATAGCCAGTCGTCTATTCAAAAATGAGATTCTATTCATGGGCAGGTTCGATGACTGCCAAAAATCTGCTTCACTTCATTTCCAAAGAGGGGCAAAAAAAGAGCGTCGAGAGATATAAACTTTATTTCTCATTATGAAATGTTTGAATATTCACATTTGCGAGAGGATTTCGGGTGAAGTGACTTTGAAGCTATTACGTAAACTTGAGAGACAAACTTTTCTTCAGCTTTCCTGACTTGATTTGCATCTATCCCAATATAAAATACGATAAATCCGATAAATCCGATGTTTTGCCATTTATCTGTATGCACGTATATATATGTATACGTCAGTCAGTGACTTCGATCAAAGCAATCCTCCTAATCAATCTGCCTATCCTCATTGGCCAGAGAATTTGAGAGCGCCAACATCATGTTGTTCAATACCATTACGCTTTTGCTCTCATGTGCTTTTGCTCTTGCTTTAGCACTTGCAAATCCACCACACCAGAAACCAAAAGCACTTTCTTCTAGAAACGAAGCAGCGGTTCGCCTTCTTTACGAATACCCACTCGGAACATTCGTCGAGGCTATCGCAGTTCGCCCTAACGGCGAGCTTCTCATCACACTGCCTTATAATTCCTCAGTCCATAGCATCAACCCCCTGCACTCAAACTATACCCCCACAGTTGTGCATAATTTCGATGGCCTCACTATATTTGGCATCACCGAGTATGACCGTGATATCTACGCCGTAAATGGTGGCAGCTTCTCTTCGAATACAGGCCCAGTCACTGGCACTTATCGTGTCGATTCTTTAGATTTAACACAGACCACAGCAACGTCGTCCACCATTGCAAACATTTCTTCAGGTCAATTTCTCGATGGTATGACTTCCCTGCCTCGGTCGGGCGTTGGACCGTCTAATGTGCTCGTCAACGATGTCGCCGCTGGCGTGGTCTACAATCTAGACTCAATCTCCGGAAAATATTTCATTGCCATCAACAACACCTACACACAGGTACATCAACACACCAACCTTGGGGCCGTAGGTGTTAACGGAATCAAGATTGGAGACGGGATGGCTTACCTCACCAATACAGGTCTAGGCATGCTTGTACGTTTTCCCATCCACGAAAACGGCACGGAAGTTACAGGTGGAGCAGTTGAGATCCTGTCCCATGAGGCGAACTCTACTTGGTTCTACGATGATTTTGCACTCCGCGGCACCATTGCTTATGTTACGACCGGCTCTGGAAATTCTATCGAGCGCGTGGTTGCGCCTGCCGTTGATTCACGGGGTGCGATTACTTCCGAGATTGTGGCAGGTAGTCTCAATTCTACGATTGTAGCAGGACCAACAGCTGCCGCTTCTGGACGCACGCCTTGGGATAGTCATATCTTGTATGTTACTACACGTGGGGCGTCGAATGTACCTGTGGACGGGAGGATAAGGATTGGCGCACAAGTACTGGCTATAGATACCAAGTTATGCTCATGGTTTTAGATAATTCGGTGTTAGAATCTTGACACAGAGATTCAGAAGTTCATACATCATGAAAGAAAGAGAAGGGAAAGAGACATTGGGGAAATGGTGTGCTTTTTGATTCGTAAATTGATTGTCGGCACATAACAAACTTAACGTCGAAGAAAATTGAATCTCAAGCAACGCTTATGTAGAAAGAAAGAAAGGAAGTAGATGTCGGTATAATGGTACCGGTGTAGTAGTTGTATGATATTATATTGTACCGAGTGTACTATATTCGCTAGCTAACTGCCAAAACTACCCTTTGACCTCTATATAGCCTTCTATTGGAATATGAGTCTTAAAAAAATTACCTAATCCCTTTCTACTATATAATTAAGACAAAACGATAGTGAGTATTAAAATTGCAAACATGCAGGTTAAACTTTAATCTAGTGTTTTAATTCAATAATACTAGAAATACCTAAATCGTACTAGGAATTGTCTTCATTTTCATAACTAAGTAGTATAGAAAAGCTTCATAAGTAGTTTAATTATGATCTACGTCGATTATCGAAATTGAAGACATTTGAACTTAACTACCGTTTTAACGTGAATGTGAGGTTGGTCGATCAAGATTCAATCTGAGACCAGTAGTCTGGGGAAACAACATCTCAAAATTTATTTTCCTTGCAGTCGGAGAATTGATACCCATCATATTTGCACTGATTGTCTATGATCAGGGAATTTCGAGTCTAGATCACAACTCTATTACATCCTCTTGTCATTGTACTGATTAAGATTCTCACTGAAGAAAATTGTCTACCAAATAATCCCGACAAACCCCCATCAAGACTGTATCATTATGAATTGTACTATATCTGGCTGATACCAATCTTAAGGTTAATATATATATATTGATCATTGATTTATAAAGAAGTACTCGCGAAGTACTAAAGCATGGTTCTAAGAAGGAGGTGAACTCTCTAATTTCAGTCTCACCGCCTTCAATTTACCATCAATCAAACCATTCTGCGTATACAAATCAACATTTAATTCGAACGCAGTGAGACAAGATTGGTAGTATATACCTCCGTGCGTGATGCATAATTCATGATAATCATAAATTCCAGCATTATGATACTCTCTTGATGGAGGTATTCTTAAATAAAATATGAAACACGGTACACTAAAGCTGATTTTTATCTCGTCTATTTCCGCCTTGTGTATAGTCGTTGGACGATCACCACCCGTGTCTCAAAATGTCAGAAAGCTTATACTGAAATTATCTGTGTATGATTTACACCCGATTATCTTCACCTCAATTAAGAAAACACTAGTGCCGAAACGAAATCGAACAAAGTGAGGCTCAGTCATGATTACCTTCAAGTTGATGTGTATAAGAAGGTGCTCACATTCCTTATTTTTTCAATCATTCAAGTCGTTTATACATACCATCAAGCTTTCTTTACAAATAATATAACAGTGCAAGCCTACCAACCACCAAAACCTCACCACCATGAAGCTCATCTTTGCAACTACACTATTCTTGGCTTCGGTCATGGCCATGCCCAGTCAACTTGCAGCCGCGCCTGATGCTACTACTGAGATAGGATGTATGTTTGATTTAATCTCACCCCTTTTCCGGTAATCCAGCTGATACAGTTGCAGATGTTCAAGGAGCTCAAAGCGGGCCTCAAAATGACGTGAGCAAGAGAGACCTCGTGAAAGAGAGTAGAGAGGCAGCGAATGAATTCTGTTCAGGATATCTTGGTAAGTCTCAGAATCATACGGCTTCTTTCACAGCTTTTATTTGCATATTATGATAAACGAGACTGATAATGGGGGGTTTGAACAGGATATTGCTCAGACACCGTCAAGTGCTGCGATGGCCGTATCTGCACACGTTGCGTAGGGGATACTGCCCCGATAAACATTTGCCATCCTGCTCAATGCGAAGCTTTTAAAGCCTAAATGGGTACATTAGAGCCACAGCGGTTGATCGAATACCCATTTAGGTGTTCGGAGTTGTATTTGTTGGCAAAAGATGTTTGATTTGCATGTGTTTAGTATACAAGTGATAGACGGCGGTGGGGGAAGCAATACTGGACTTTCAGTTGTAATCTTTTATTATTTTAGGGACTTGTCTTGTATTATGGAATTCTTTAATCATGTACTTCGTCACTGCTTAATTCAACATTTTATCATTGCATCCCCCGTTTACTTCTTGCAAAGTCCATAAATGTAATGTCGCTTATTGCGATATATGATAGAATACAAGAGTCCTATTGCCTCATAAATCTCGTCTTAAAACAAACAAAATGGAAGGAGTTGATTGTACGTACATGTCTCAATGCTCAATTGATCATGGACCTATGTCTCAGAACGAACATTGACACGAATTAATACAGCTAAATTCCGGTAAGCCCCATGATCGATTGATCCAGGAGGCAGAATCTGCTGGTTTGATCCACAGGGAACCATGCCATTCAAATCTACTCCTTATACCGCGAATGCAGGTCCGTTTAGTAGCTTCCTACCGCGATGAGACTACTGCATTACTACTCTTCGATACGACTTGATGTTTCTCCAGATTCCAGAACATATCAGCATACAGGTAGGTGTAGTGGAGTGAGTCGTAGAGCGTATTCTATTGCGCACTCAAGATAGCAGACTTTCCTGCGTTGGAAGATGTTCAAATAGAATAATTTCCATTCAGCAACGATCGGGAATGACTGCAATGTGGTACATGATGGTCCAAAATGACAGAATCTGCGCCCATGTTGAGCATTTGACAACTAACTTTCATTCTCAATCATTAATCATACTATCTCAGTAACCTTGTTTCATTCCTCAAAAACTACTTAAATAGTGAAAACCCTGACCGGCCACCGTTACCAAAGGAATGCGAGCAAATTTCAGATAAAGGCACCATCTGAAGTCCTTTATATTGAAAATTGATTCGACCGACAATGAGCCACAATCAAACCTTTTCGTTTGGTCTAACTTCTTAAATAGCACTACCAGTCCTAATTGACTCCCTACGCTCCACCGTCGGTTCCTCGCCCAAAGTATCACCGACGCCACCTCTAACATACTCATCGTCATCAAGGTGCCTATACAAAAAGTAGAACCAGATCGCCATCAAAGTTCCCAATACCGCTGGTGCAACATAAGGCCAAATCAAATACGGATCCACTAAACTCGGAGTACAAGCTTGTGCAATTGCAGCAGAGAGGGCTGTAGCAAACAAGTACATGGAAGTGACAAGACCTTTCATGTTTGCAGGAGCTCTTGAATACGCGAGTTCAAGGGCAGTGACATTGCAAAAACATTCCGATATACCTCCAATCATCCATTGAGGAAGTTGCCACCAGATACTAAGTGGAGCAACACCGGTTCCTATTTCGCAACCAGTGGCATAATATCCACATGGAGACGTTTCGTAGATTCTCCATTGAGTGATCGCGCCAATGGCAGATGAAACCGCGGCAATAAAAAAGCCAAATGTTATTCTCTTGATGGGACCGAAATGAATCTTATGGCGACGGAGAAGTGGATAAACTCCGTAAGAAAGAATGGGGATGGTAACGATAACAGTAAGAGCATTGAAATTGTTGAGAATATCATTGGGTGCATCATTGGTCACCATTGCTGAGCCTTGGGATGTCGTAATGTTTCCTATACCTCCATCATTCAAGATGTAGATTGGGAAGAACAAGAAGATAGTGCAGGCTTCCAAAGATCTTTTGACATCCTCGACAAAATTGTCATCCCAGTCTACTGGCTTACCATTATGTTCACCAGTGATACCTTCTGCAGCGAGAACGGAAGGTTTTGCAGCATCGAGATAACCCTTGCGACCAAATTTTTTCAGATCATTTCTTCTCAGGGAGGTACGGATAACTCTGAAAAACTTTCCGAGATCGCTTCCTTGCGGTGGATATTTGACTAGTCGTTTATTTATTGCCCATAGCAGTATCGGAAGTAAGAGGTAAAGAACCATTGGTAGTCCATAAGCCAGCCAGAACCCAACTCTCTTTTCAGAATATGTTGTAGCAAGACCAAAAAATGCGCCAACATTAACCATACCATAGAAGGCTAGAGCGAGTCTCTGAGCAGTGACTTCAGGGTCAAGAATAACACGTTCCCCATCGGGGAGAGTCTTGACTATGAGTCCCTTTTGTGTGTCCTGGTCGAGAAGCATGGGAGAAACGTTACTCTTAAATAGACCTGAGGTTTCACTCAGCATTGTACTTTTAGATGCATCTCATAAGACATACCAGCTCCCAAAGCCAAGATCAAAATTCCAATAACAAATGGTGCCATGCCATGACCAGCTTGTAATACACTAGGTAAGGCTCCAAGAACCAAAACAAGATGCGCAACTCCGAAGACGAAAACTCCGATACAGATAGTTTTGAAACGTCCTAATTTTGTGTCTGCGAGCCACCCTCTGTAGGTCTAAGTAAGCAAGAGATAACCAAAGACGAAGAAGTGCTGAACGAACCCAAAGACAGGTACTGTATATGCTAAAAATTTGAACAAGAGACCAAGGGCAGATGAAACAGTAAGGCCTTTACCCAAAGCGCCTGGTGTAAGCTGAGTACCTTTGGGGGTTGCGCCAGCCCCACTTCCTCCTTTGCTATTAATTTCATCAGCAGTGGACGAAAGATTAAAAAAATTCTCGTGGAGATATGGAGACATACGGGAGTGGGAATTGAACAAAATTCGAGAAGACAAATTGGCAACCATAATAGCTTGCGCGCTCTGCAAATTCGATGAGACAGATCATATAAGCAGTCCATGGAATTGAACCAGAAATTCTGCGGAGTGTAGTTCTCTCTTCTTCAGTGGGACGTGATAGACCATCCTCATCGAGGGAAGGTTCATGATCGAACGCATGAATTTCACTTGAGATTTTGGCGTCAAGGTTATCTGGCGCATTTGCCAACAGGCCGGTCTGATATACTGGGGCACTGGTGAGTGCATCAGTAGTAGTAGCCATGGAAGCTAACAGATTTTGTGTTAGTATATGGCGCCTCATCAATGGATTTGACATAATGAGGAATAAGTACTCATGTTTTATGCCTTAGGTAAAGTGTTTCGCAGTACAATTCGAGCTGGGTGTAAAAATGAGGTTCATGAAAGCCAGCATGCAGTAGGATCAAAAGTACCATCAACAAGTAATTCTTGAGTTCATCCAACTGAGGGTAGATTTCGCAGTGAAAAAGCTTGAATGAATCACAAGTATGATAAGAATGAATAAAAATGGGATGATGTTGAGGGGAAACAGGAGAATATATGATGGGTAGCACGACATGGTGTCAAAATTCACTAACCATTTTCATGTCACCCAGTGCAACACTTGGCATCATAAAACATTTATTCCCATTCCTTGGTATTTGAAGTCGTATTCACATGCAGCATCCAAAAAGGTTACATTTCCTGTTTCTTGGATCCCGATGATAGCCTACCCATCATGGTTTTTGATAGAGTCTCGACATCCTGCCCTTCATAATGCGATATACGACAAGCTCAGTTCAGAGCCCCAAGAGCTTTCTCGGGCCTGTACCTGAATTCGGAAAATTAACATACTCTCGAGATGCATGCCGTGCCTCATGATCACTGGGAGTATTCGCCCTTCTTGATGAGGAAGGTGGTTAAGAGATGAGAGGCGGTTCTCGAAGTTTTTGTAGTCTTGGATCTTTACGCCGATTTCTTGTTGCAATTCAAAATGATCAAATCAGAACTATTTGTGGTACAATTTTTCACACTTGTGATTGGTACAGCACATTGATGGCTGCGCTCCAAGGCTCCCAAGTCCTGCCAAGGGCGAGCAGACGAATCACAATTCATCGACCTATCAATATCGCATTTGATACTAGGAGCTCAGAGATAGTACGCGCTTGTCAACGTCGAGGTTGTTGCGGCCAATTCTTGGTAGCATTGATGGGCCAAGTGAAGACGGTCCAAATTCTTCGCATCCCCTCAAAAATTCACGATAGGGCAACATGAGCAATAAGCAAGCAATCAATGCCGAAGGAAGGCTTTACAATCTTGACCATTTCGTTTCCGCGATCACAGGGATTGAAACAAACATCCTCGTCCCTATTCTGTCGTTGTAATCTTTCTTGTGAGGACCTTCCCTTAAAGAACAATTCCGGAATTCTGGTCGTGAGAGTCAAGACCAGCTCATCTGTCCACGAACTCATAATTGATAGTTTTCGAGATACTAAATGGTGGGCTCGGTAAGGTTAAGGCTTTTCAATGCTTTAAAGGAACAGCACGATTCGTAATACTGCACATGTACGATGGCTTGGAATGAAGAGAGGACCTGGCAATTGCAATTGATAAGACAGTGTGATGCAGAAGTGGAAAGTACTAGTAAGACTTACATTGCGTGTAAAGTATACATCACGCGTACCGTACTCTATTTAATAGATGCACCAGTGGGTGCACGGACTCACGGGACACGCGTTTTTTGAAAATAGTCTCAAAATAAACAATTCAAAATATACACAATCAATTCAACTTCAAAATGCCATTTAATACATAATTAATTAAATGTGAAACTACTTCTACTAATAAAGAATTATATAAAGAATATAATTTACTAAAAAAATTATATTTTTTTAATGAATTCGATTAATACTATATAAAAAAAAGTGTACACTCTATTTCCACCTAGTTAGGTATACTAAGCTTTATAAGTCATTAATAGTTTTAAGAAAGAAATATATTAGGAAGGCAAGTTTATAAACAGATTTATAAGCTTTTAAAAAATCTAGGGGGATCTATATTAATTGATAAGGTTATTTACAAGATATTTGTTTTGTTTTTCCAAAATAAGCTATAAATCAAATCTTATAAAATAATAATTAAATATTTCAAATTAAGGATTAAATAATATTCTTTATAGAAGAATTTGAAGAGATTTATAAATCAAGATTAATATTATAAAGCTACTTATTCAGAAAAGTATATTAATAATTAATAGTATAAAAAACACATTATATTTAATAATATATATAAATATAATATTATAAAAGGATTTTGGAAATATATTATATATATAAACGAAATATATATGAATTCTATTTCTTTAAAAAAAAAGAGATTTTAAGAAAAACTGGAATTTGATATAAGCTAGAAAATATAATAAAATACTTTTTATTAAAGAGTAATAAAATTCATTATAAAATATAAATCACTTTTGAAAAAAAAGCTGAAAATCTTGAATTCTATTATAACAAAAAGGAATATATAAATGAATTTAAGTTTAAATCTAAATTTAGAATATATTCCAAAATTGAAAGTTATAATTCCTATAAGGAGTATATTTATATATGGGAAGCTAAAAAGTTGTATCTCAAGAATATCAACTCTTAAAATAATATTATAATTTAGGAATACTATATTAAATAATTATTTTTAATTTATATAAAAATGATTAAAAGATTATAAACAAAAGATTTTATATATAAATAGTTTTTAATAAAAAATAATAATAGTTTCTATAATTTTATTAAATATAATTTTATATAAAAGCTTAGAGATATATATAATATCGAAAATCTATTTTATCCCTCTAATTTATTCAATCTAAATCCAATAAAGAGTATTTGGAATATATTAAAATAATAAGTTTGAAAAAAACAATGAAAAATATTGAATAAATTAAAAAAGATTATATAGAATAAATAGAATAAGATTATATAAAAGAAAATTCAAAAAAGATATATAGAATTACTTAGTAAATATAGAATTATAATTAATACAAATAGAAACTATATACAATCAAAATTGTAATAGTTATTAGCTATTTAATCATAATATTATCTCATTTTGGGTTTTTTGAAACTATATAGACTGTCCCGTGAGTCCGTGCACCCACTAGTGATGCAGAAATCAATCTATTACGGTAACTTAGTCGCGCTAAAATAGAAATCTCCGCGTTTTTGGCAACGCGACGTGGAATTTTTGACGACTCCTGAATTTATGCCCCTCCAGAGTAAACAACAACAAACAATTCATTAAGCAACCAACTCACTCGCCATTCCTTCGATTTTAGCACAATATGGCATCTGTAATGATGTCCGATGCGCCAACACCAGACTTTGGAAATTCTTCAAGAGCTGGAACTCCCAAGGCTCGTAGACATAGGGGGTCTTCAGCATCTGGTAGACCAAGAGGTCCCCCATCCGAGAGCGCTGGTGCTATGAGTGATGATGAAGGTTTCGCAGATGATGCTATTCCACAAAATACTAACCGTCCGAGAAAGAGTGATAGGTCAATACCAAGAGTGGAGGATGCGATTGGGCAATATGTACAACTCACATTTGAGGAATTTCTCGAGTCGTGAGTTTTGCCCTTATATTAACCATCGCACATCTAATGCCTTTGCAGATATATTGAAGATCCAATACTGTCCGGCACCACTCCTTCATCTGCGATGACTACCGATAAATACTATATTGCGCAAATCCATGGGCTGAGAACATATCAATTGTCTACTTTATATGTCGATTATACACATCTCTCTTCATACAAAGGTGGCGCATTGGCAGAGGGTATCGTTGAAGAATACTACAGATTCCTACCATTCCTTACGAAGGCTTTACACAATATGATCGCCAAATATGAACCTAGATATTTCAGAGATCATCGTCAGCCCACTGCATCGAGTAATCAAACTTCATCTGGGGCGAGCAATGCCGCATCTGCAAGTCAATCCGATTTCCAAGGAGACAAGACTACCAATCAACAAACCGATAAATTGTTTGCATTGGCTTTTTACAACTTGCCTTTAGTTACTCGAGTACGTCATTTGAGAACAGCAAATATTGGACAACTTCTATCTATCTCTGGTACCGTTACGAGAACTTCGGAAGTCCGACCTGAACTCTCTCTAGCCACGTTCATATGCGAAAACTGCAAAAATGTTGTACCAAATGTCGAACAAACCTTCAGGTATACCGAACCTACACAATGTCCGAATTTGGAGTGTAACAATCGTCAAGCATGGAGACTGGATATCAGACAAAGTACATTTGTGGATTGGCAGAAAGTTCGTGTGCAGGAGAATAGTTCGGAAATCCCTACTGGAAGTATGCCAAGAACTATGGATGTTATTCTGCGTGGAGAAATTGTCGATCGTGCGAAGGCTGGAGAGAAATGTATTTTCACGGGAGCGCTGATTGTGGTTCCTGATGTAAGTCAACTTGGTTTACCTGGTGTTCGACCAATGGCGATTAGAGATACACAGAATCGAAGTGGAGATGCAAGCGGTGTGACTGGATTGAAAGCGCTCGGTGTAAGAGATCTTACATACAGACTCGCTTTCTTGTCATGTATGGTTACACCCGATACTTCCACCCAGGGAGCAGCAGCAAATCAACAACTCAACGGACAATCCAATAATATTCTCGCATCCCTCAATCAAACGGCTCCTATTGACCCCAACGAGCCTGGAGATCATGCCCAAGAAGCTGTTCTTGCATCCATGACACATGCCGAAATTGAGGATCTCAAAGAAATGGTTCATTCAGATCACATCTACTCACGTCTCGTCAATTCACTCGCCCCCATGGTCTACGGACATGAAATTGTTAAAAAAGGTCTTCTCCTTCAACTTATGTCCGGTGTCTCCAAAGTTACCCCAGAAGGAATGCAACTTAGGGGTGATATCAATATTTGCATAGTTGGTGATCCCTCCACCTCGAAATCTCAATTCCTCAAATATATTTGCTCTTTTCTTCCTCGAGCTGTCTACACATCCGGAAAAGCCTCCTCGGCTGCAGGTCTCACAGCTGCTGTAGTCAAGGACGAGGAGACAGGAGAATTCACTATTGAAGCTGGAGCACTGATGCTAGCAGATAATGGTATTTGTGCTATTGACGAGTTCGATAAAATGGATATCAGTGATCAAGTCGCCATCCACGAAGCTATGGAACAACAGACCATTTCCATTGCCAAAGCAGGTATCCAAGCCACGTTGAATGCTCGAACCTCGATCCTCGCAGCTGCAAATCCAGTAGGAGGAAGGTACAACCGAAAGACGACATTGAGAGCTAACATTAACATGAGCGCTCCTATTATGTCGCGTTTCGATTTGTTCTTTGTTATTCTGGATGAGTGCAACGAAACTGTGGATCGCCATTTAGCGGAACATATTGTAGGAATCCATCAACTTCGTGACGAAGCAGTGCAACCCGAATTCACGACCGAGCAACTCCAGCGCTACATCCGTTTTGCCAAAACCTTTAAGCCAGAGTTCACGGATGAAGCTAAAGAATTACTGGTACAAAAATACAAAGAACTGAGGAATGATGATGCTCAAGGAGGCGTTGGTAGAAACAGCTATCGCATTACGGTTAGACAATTGGAGAGTATGATTCGATTAAGTGAGGCTATTGCAAAGGCGAATTGTGTTGAGGAAATTACCGAGCCGATGGTTGTTGAAGCCTTTAATCTTTTGAGACAGAGTATTATCAGTGTTGAAAAGGATGATGTTGAGGTTGATGACGATGATGAGGAAGTACCAGCTCCAGCTGCGAATGATGATGCAGATGACGCCATGGATGAAGATACCCAGGACGTCAATGGAAGTGTACCGCCAGCTGAAGGAGATGGAAGACAAAAGACAAAGATTACTTATGACAAATACATTGGAGTGGTCAACCTGTTGGTTAGGAGGATCAATGAAGATGAGTTGGGTAACGGTGAAGGAGTGGAGGGAGAGAAGTTGGTAGAGTGGTATTTGGAGCAGATCGAAGGTGATCTAGCTGATGAAGAGGCATATCATGAAGAGATGAAATTGTGCAAAAAGATTATCAAGAGGATGCTCAAAGTTCGTTACTATTTTCTTCCTTTTCTACTCCTCTTCGTCACTTCAGCTCGTTGTACATGTAAGGCTCTATGGATTTTGGACTAACATTTGATTCTACAGGAAAATATTTTGATGGCAATTCGTGGGCAAGGATTGATTGATCAGGATGACACAAATGGGGAAGGCTGTTCGAGGCCAGAGGATTCAGTTGTTTATGTATTACATCCTAATTGTGCGGTGGAAGAATTTTAACTTTCGACTCTGTGTTTAAGGAGCATGTCATACTATGTGATGATGCATATATGAAGGCGTTAGGAAGAATACCTCAAGGTGAGGATAGTTTATCAGCAAATGAATTGTAACATTCAGGAAAGATTACACGCGGTAATAATGTGCCCGTTTTTGTACCAGTGATTATCCATTCTATTTGCTATTCGTATCCTAGTGCCATGGCATGTGCAATGTTTGCCATTTTCTAATCCATCAATACACTATTCTGTGGTGGTTCAGTTCAATATACACCACAAGACCTATCATGCAACTACCCACTCATCCATAAACCTCCCTTGCAACTTCGACCAATTTATTAGAAACTTCCTCAGAAAAAATTGCAACGCCCAACTCCTGGCTAGTCACCCAACTCGCCCGATCCAGATTGCCACTCCCAAGAATCGTTATTTCATTGTCAATTATCGTCATTTTGAGATGAAGCTTGGCTGGTTTGCTCTCCTTCCCTATGCTTTCGGATCCTCTCGCCAGTGTTCCATCAGTCATCGTATTCCGGTTATGGGAATCACTCATACGAACGAGAGCGGGATTGAAATACACAATTTCTAAAGCTCCTATTCTAGGATTGCCGGCTTCAATGTCATCGACCCTCCGTGGTGAACGATATACAAGCTTACGATATCGACGTTTCATCTTCCATACCTCCCATTCAGTGATCGTGCCGGCTGTTACTAATTGCTCCAGGATCATCAGCTTTCGAGAGACTACAATTCGGACATCAACACCTTTATCTAATGCTTCGAATATTGAATTTATGACTGGTGTGTATGTAATATTTGGAGTGTAGATTGTTATTGATGTTTTGGCTGTTGAAATTTGTGATAGCAAGAATTTATTGAGTGGTGTTGAAGGCGTTTTTGCATTTGGTCTAAAAACAACAGAGAATGGATTATACGCAGAGTGAGTATGTGGAAGAAGAAGTGTTTCGGTATTTTGTGGAAGGTTTGATAAGTCGACGACACTTAACAACGATGAATCTGGATTCCATAGGTCGGCATGTATCGATGGACTTCTCTTTGCTAGCTGAGTCGACGTCCACGACATTTCGGGAATTGTCATCTGACCATCGCCGTTCCAGATCCTACTCCAATAACTCCGCAAATCTTCTACCAATTCCCCACGTTCAAATCCAATACATCCTTCTCCCCATGGCTCCCAACTCACATTACAACTTGGAAACCAAATGCGTCGAGTATCTTGTATGAGATATTTCCCATGCAAAACATGACATGGACGGAAAAATATCGACTTGACACGTAGATTTAACCCCGGTATATCCGACTCAGATGGAAGTCCAAGTGAAGGATACTGAGACGATGGGTACAAATATCCGTCGGGGGAAGGGGTGTGAAATATCTTTTGCGATATTGAAAGAGATGAAAAACAAATGCGGATATGGATGGTTTTTTGATCTGAAACCGCCCGTTCCGACAGTCTCAGGAGGAGTTGACAAATATCGCGCTGGCTAGAGGACGAAGCCCAAAAGCAGGTCACGAGAATGAGTTCGTGGTTTGTGGAAAGGAGTTGTGGGAGGAGAGAAGACCATATTGAAGTACCGGTGCCAAGTAGGAAGGTGGTGGGATGTGTTGTGCTATGAACATAGCTAGGGAGCTGGGTTGTCATGTGTCTGAGATGATTGCAAATCAATAGTGGGCAATGGCAAAGACTTGGGCGTGAGAGAAGATTAAGAATTGGATGATGAATTATTGATAACAATGAGTTTAGGAATTCGAGCTCGTTTGATTGTTGATATTCAGAGGATACGAGGTATACATATGGGATAGTGAGGTTATAAGGTTAACTACTTACTACCTTATAATTGTCTTTTGGGCGGGGCGGTGTCATTCATTTTACTCAGCTTGGCACCCCAAGCTTCGCACCACCAGCATCCATGAATCTTATCATGTCACTAAAATTCTGGAAGATCACAGCAGCCAAATCATTTATTCTAAATCTTCACATATTTCCATCAATCCGGGTCGGAGTATATCTGCTTTTGCACATGGAGGCCCAATGAATTCTCATTTCGATACAATGTATCGTTCTAATGTCTGCGATACCTTCTTCTTTGAAGTTACTCTCCTTCCTCGTTCATGATAGCAACTGTGAACATCTTCTTCAACACCGCTTCTTTTCATTGATAAGATCTTTTTGATAAACCTCCCATCTTATATCAAGTGATATATGGTACTGGTCTGAGAAGCATAGCGACTTCCACGCCCTCAACGTTGCATTTGTGCTACGTCAAGTAAATGTCTTGTGGGAATCTAATCTGGTTTAAAATGAAACACATATAGGCCTGGATAGTTTTCTAGTCTTGTACGCCAAAATCCTATTGTCATTACTTCTCAGCATTCTGTATTTTCTTGAATTTTCAAATCTGTTGATGGAAAGTACCTTTCCTTGAAGTCGAATAACTTATTTAGGAGGCATCACCATATCACTCTACAATTGATGTCAAATAATAATTCAATGATACAAAGTAATGAAAGATCAATAACACCTTTAATATACAAATTTTTAATGTCGTCAAACCCCAATGTATTCAATTCAAACAAAAGATCGCACCAACAGAATCCCAACCAGAAAGGAACCAAAATATTGTTTACGTGAAATGGTACGAGAAATTAACCCTTCCAAATGCACCCTGCTATTCCCTATCTTTGATTAAATACAACATGTTAAATCTCTCTTATTGTTCGACATAGATTGATCGCATTAGTTATTGGATTCATACAAAGACTTGTGATATAGAGCAAAGTCCAATCTATCTTTAGCGTCATCCCGCGCAACTATGCTTTGTCTCCAGAGGTGTTCAGATTGACTCAACTTTTCCTCTGCTTCGCCTTCCTCCTCCCTCCGATGGCGATGATTCCACGTGTCTTTATGGGGAAGAATATTGAAGTAAACACTTTCCAATGCCTGTCCTATTAACTGTTTTCTTTGCTGAGTATAATATAGAAATCGCGCACCTACCCACTCTTTCTGTCGATATATCCTATGATTGAGCTCTTCGGTGGGATCAGAAGGTAGCTTGTTGTATTCCATAAGGCTTTTTATATGATCGAACTCCCAATCCATTACCTCCAACCTTTTCGAGTAGAGCATTTGGGAATAGCGCTTGTATGCGTCCCTTGGCGATTCCCTTCCCGTGCCAAATCCAGCAATCATTCGACTATTGTGTGTGTCCCACTCACGCCCACTTATATTCGACGCTCCTTCTGTCATTTCGTACTCAATTCTTTCCGCTTTGAATCTGGCATTCGAAAGATCTTGTTGATTACGCAACACACTCTCGTACAACTCTGCAGTTCTTTCTTGAGTCTGTATGAGAGCTGCCTCTAATCCACTTATTTCAATGTCTGTAAGAGGAGGTTGCGCAAGAAGCTCTTCCTCTACTCGTGGGCGTTGAAAAGGAGCGATCGCTTGTAACCACTCAGGCCATGGGCCATCATTCTCTACTGATATATCAGGCAATGGACCACGGCATTCATCTCTGCAGATGGCGCATCCCTTGAACTCGACCATCTGTACAAGACAAGCTTCGTGGTACGTGTGGTTACACTTCAATTTTAGACACGGCTCGCTATTCAGCGATTCCAGGCATATCATGCATCTATCAGTTGAAGGATTAACGCAAACTTCTGCAATGAGTGGGGCATCCGCACCCATCGCTTGTCTCCATTTTCCTTCCTCTTTGTTCTCCTTGTAGGTGCTCTCTGCATAGTTAAACGCAAGATCCCGAAGTACAGCCTGCCTTAGCTGCAATATTATAATTCTATGCTCTCGGGGTATTTCCTGTGCACGACCAGCTCTAACAGTGAGCCAAAGATGAGGTAAAAGTTGTTGGAAAACGAGGAGGTAAAGATGATTATAAACGTCGAGGTTGAGTCGCTTGTTGGAACAAAAGATATCAAGATCGTCTCTGACATTTGGCTCAAAGTTCATGTGTATGAAGGCATGCGCTCGATTCAACGCAGCACTAGCTTTCTCCCGTAAGTTGGAGTCTTCGAAATAACGTTGATCAAACTCATACTCTGTGCCGAGCTTTTTAACTGTAACTTGATTGGGAAGGGATGTCATGGGATCTGCCACCATGTAACATTCGGGGCAGAAGTCGGGAAGAGAAAATCCCTCAGTGAGTATCCTTTCGCAAATTCCAAGAGGCTGGCATGATTGTATAATCCAGGAGTATGGCGTTTGATCACAGAAAGTGTAATGGCACATCGTTCGTAAGCACATGTTGCAATAAAAGATAAATTCCGTGAATGCTTGAAGTGGAAGTCGGTTTTCAACTCTCAACAGGTAATATGAAATCGTATCAAATCGTATGAAATCGTAAAAAAAACGGAGTTGTTGAACAGTCACTGAGGATATTGCTGTGACAGGCTATCTTCCTTTGTCTTGCAATGTTAGCAGTAAGATCAGTCAATCGTTGATCGGAATAAAGGATTTCAAGTTGAGGAAAAAGATATTTGCTAGTCCGTTCCTCTTTGTTTGGTCCAAAATTTGAGAACAAACAGAGTGACAATTCCACCGAAACACTCTTTCATTGAATTCCGCTACATACCGAAGCCAGAATACTAAGCTGATAATTAATATCAAGCAGGATCAATAGAATGAATCTTTATATCTCAGTATAGATAACTTGACGGGAAAGTCTTGGTCTGGGTGATGATGGCTAAGTAAAAAAAGAATCGAGAATCTAGTCCGAGGTTACAGTCAAAGAAAATCATGGGATAACACTGCTTGTATGATTCCTTTGAGCAGATTGATCTTGTTGTCTTCAGTGGTCCGGACTCCACTCGACTTCAACTCGTTGCCTTTGAGGTTCCGACAATAGGGTTATAAACTTCATGAATCATTTTAATGTCTAATAGAATTTGGGGTTCTTAGAGGCTCTCAAATGATGAACTGTAAACTATTGAATATCCTGTATTATCTTGCTACGAGGCTTTTGATGATTCTCTTATAATCTTCTACACCCTTAGCAAGCCCATCAGCAATTATACATTCATGATCCGAATGTGCCGAAATTACAGATCCGGGTCTGATTAAATAACGCTTATGATTTCCTTTCAGATTTGGAACATCAGTTCCTCCTCGCTTTACATCCGTCTCGAAACCTAAAATTCAGTATTTCAGTACCGTCCACGTCTTGGGAATTTTTGGCAACGAACCATCTATATCAACGTCACAGCCCACAGGACCGAAATTCCGACCAAGTTTCACCTCCACACTCCCCTCATCTATATCGAGACTCGCGATGATCGATTCGACCCTTTTCATAGCTTGTTCCGGTGTTCCGGTTGCCAACCTTGTCAAGACGGAAGCTGATGCTATTGCCGGAATGACGTCCAATGCCACACCGCCTTGTATCATCCCAATACTTGTGGTCGTTTCACCCAACTTGTCACTTCTAGGTAGTCTCATTCCATCAATCTCCGTTAGTGCCTTTATCAGAATACTAATTGCGTTTATTCCCAATTCTGGATAGGAGCTATGAGCGTCCTTTCCATGAGCAATTATCTCAAACGCTAGCGCACCTTTGTGTCCAAGAACGAGTTTGTGCTCCGATGGTTCCCCGAAAATGACACTCTCCCATGTAATGCCATCTTGCTGGAATTTTTCACTGGCTCCTTTCATACCAGCACCGTCTGTTTCCTCCCCAACTACAAAGAGTAACCCAATATCGCCCTCATGAATTAAATCCTCGGCTATCAATTCTTCAACAGCCATGATTTGAGAAGCCATACATCCCTTGGCGTCAGTACTTCCTCGACCACAAATCATATCCTCGTTTCCATTTGAAGAATGTGAATATGGAATGTATGGTCCGACTGTATCCATATGACTTGTGATTATAAGTCTAGTATTCCGCGTTATCCCTTTGTATGCGAAGATATTGAGTCGTGGTTTGTCATACATGGTCTGGACATTGGATGCTGACTGGATGGGAGAGACATGTTGAGTTTCAACCGTAAAATTGCGGGATGAAAGATAAGAATATAGATGTTGACCAATTTCATACTCATTGCCAGTAATGGATTCGATAGAAATGAGATCTTTGTGAAGCCCGATGAGGGTTGATTCAATTTCGGTGAGGCGGGAATGTTCTGCGTTCGCGCTCATGAGTATTTGGGAAGGACTAAATGAAGAGCTCTTCACAAATGGAATGAGATGTAAACTTCCCAGAAGGAAAGGAATTGAACAATTAATCATCATGACTATTGATGTGTTGATGGTAGCAATACTTCTCAAAGTTGTGATCCAAGAACGTTATCGACAAATTCCTGTTTGTGTTACTGTTCCTGTGTACTCCGTAATTAATCAGCAATTAACCTATCAAAAGTTAAAATTCTCGATATTCTAACAACTCTATCATCACGTTAATGCGCCGATAAAAACTATGGCAGCATCTTCATTTCCTATGGTCACACGCAACTTGTAGGTATTCTAAGTCAAATAAGGTATGTGGTTATGCTTCAAATTTCGACTATGTTCCTAGGAGATTGTGATAACTTCCATAGCTGTTGCAGAAGCCCTTTCCTAACTATAAAAGTCACCATCTCTCACATCAAAGATATCTCCTTCGACAAACCCATTTTCATCATGGCAGATCACGATTAATATTAATCCCCGAAAGTTTCTCTTCTGCGCTCAGAAATCTTCCGAAAAAATTCCCATCTCCCTCCCCATGTTGTCGAAAACTTGCTTTGCAGCTCTGAAAGTTGCGACATTTGCTCGGTGTTGGTAGGCAGAAACAACTTCATCGCTCAATCCATGAGGATTGTTCTTTCGCAAAAAATCGTCAAATATGTGCACTGTATTTTCAACAATATGATGTCGTCGTTCCTGGGTGCTTTAGCTTTGCAGAAGATCATTCCCGATAGCAATCGTCATACATTGTCCGGCCTTTCCTGCTGCTTGAGAGACACTCTCATACCAGCCTTCGACCTGCTTCAAAGTTTGAATCTCCTCCAAAGTTGGCTTATTGAGAATCTCAGAGCCACTTTCTTTGGCAACAATCCAAGGAGCATATTTCAAACTCTCACTATGTAGGTTGAGGACTTTATTGTTTATACAAGCCCTGAACATACATATAAATCCATATTTAGATGATAAAAACTTTCTGCGAGCGAGGGTGGCACCAAGAGGTGCTTGGTAGAGTGTAGTCAATTCTTCCCCCCGCTTGATGTTCCGCACAGCACTAAAGACCAAAATCTCCATTCTTGTGTTTCCTCGAGCCATGTTAGGGAGACAATCGTGGTTAATGCGTGATGCGAAGTGGTAAATGTAATTTGTGCGTTCCTGTTTGTCGCCGACGATATAGAAGCTATTAGTTTCGTAAATCTTGATGAGTGTTGTTTCTCTGCATGGGGTATCGTTGCAGCTACAATGACTATGAAGAGACCTAAAAACATTCTTCTTCTCCTCATTGAGAGACATGAAAATGGCCTCTTTTAGGAGCCAGTTTACACCACATTTCATCAAAGGCGCTTCCCTCAAATCTTTGTTTCTTTTTTGATATCTTGTTCGGCGAAAACCCCAAGACCTTTTCCAGGGCTTGTCTTGATTTCGAACATTGCGTTTGAAAAGTATACTGAATCAATGTCAGTATTTGCTGCGTGATTAGAAACAAATGGCATATATTACTTGCGGTTTTTTCCTGCGCCAAAGCGGAGCTTCCAACAACACAATCAATGCCACTAGTTCCGTCGAAACAATCACTTGCAAGTGACTTGGAGGTCTTTCCACTGCCAACTGATAGTGTAATTTTAGTATCTTGACTCGCACTTCCCAAAATTTGTCGTTCTTCGAATTCTTGCCGGGCTTTCTCCGCCTTGTTCTTCCTAGCATTCAATTTCTTTCGTCGACTACGTTCAGCTTTGCGCTTCTCAGTAGATTGATCCGCTGCATCAGCGAGTTCCAAAGTTGCTATTTCGGATGACTAGAATTATACCACAGTTAAACAAAGTTTGCATACGCAATAGGAGGGATATTCTTACAACAACACTTTGATCAATTTGGACTTGGGGATCATCCGCCAAGTGTGCACCGTCTGCTTTGCCTGAAGTCATCATTTCTTGTGGATCTATCAAAGAAAAGAGAGGCTGTTTGAGTTTATTGATTGAATTAATGTTGAGGTCTTTGGGTCAACATTGAAAGAGAATGGATTGTAAAGGAAATGAAGAGCTCGAGGGTCTCGATTGTACCTCAAGGTTTGTGATCGATCAGTAAGAGTGAGTCTCGTTAACTATATTCACTGCAGGTTCTGTGTAAAGATGAAGTCGAATTCACAGCTGTCACTTTTGACGGTCGGAGGCAACACTCCCGCTTCACAGCTTCTGCCACATCTCAAAGTCATTTAACTATCCGTCGTAAGCCTAGATTTATGGAAGAATCTCACGAGCCTAATCCACGCGCGCTTCAATGTTGTCTCATGTGTATGGAAGCACGAGGAATAATCATCCCGACCGCTTGGAAAGGCTCATATCACGAATTGGTCAGCACAGGACTTCTACGAGAAACCAGATGGAGCAGCCGTATTCGGCTCAGGGTTTGATACATGTGAGCAAACGAATCGGCGTTCGACCATTAAGCATATTAAACTTGTTCCACGCCCATCACTCTTCACCATGATAAAGTTCTGAGATCAGGCGTGATATGACAATCTGGGAGTAGCTCAAGGCTGAGTTTGTGTAGAAAGTCAAAGTAAACAGGTGCAAAGGGACGTCCCATAGCTCGGTGCCATTGTGAGACATGCTAAATGCAGTATTTTATAGGAAGTGATGTTGGTATATCGTAATGTAAGAGAATAGAAGCTTTTGAAACTTATCGGAAATGTTTCAGCGTAAGGAAAATAAATTTTTCAGTAAAGAAGACACCTCATTTGAGTCTTGTTCGCGAAGCTTATAGCTAGACTTCTTGCGAATCTAATAGCTTTCAAAACTGGAAATCAGAATATGTGAATACTTCATCGAAGTTCCCATCATTCCATTCTTCCCAAAATCCACATAATATTCCGGTCTTCAAGTGGCGATGGATTTATGGTGCGGGATAGGAAATCCCAAGGAATGATGTTCGATCGCTTTCAATACATAAAAACAACGCGGTTCAAGTTGAATCTGGGTTTTAAACCCCGAGCATTATCACAAAATGTTTCAATTAAATAAGCACCCTCTTTTTTCAACCAGACAGTGAGAGATTGGCCTACATCCAGAGATTCTTATTCTCCTCTGCAAACTCGTCAAAGGTTTTAGGTTTGTGGCCTCCAATCTTCTCTACCACATCATTTCGTCTCGCTTCCCCGCCGTTTGCAGTCATAACTTCCAACGAAGTCAAATAACATGCAAGATCTTCAGGCAACCCCATACTAACATGCGTCTGTATTCTCTCCTCACCTGTTACTTTGACGTGAGTAATTGTTCGTCCGAGAACTTTGCTCAACTTTGCAGCAATCTATAATTGATAAGCCAACGTATTATTGGGTGGGAGAGTACATAGATACCTCATCATAATTGAGCAATTCAGGACCAAGAACTCTGTAGTCGTGATCTGGAGGGTTCTTGCTGGTAAGTGCAACCATTGCTACTCTGGCAATGTCACTCGCTGATACAAATGGAGCTTGGCCATCGCTCATTGCGGAGACGAATTTATTTTCTTCTTTAATGCTCTGAATATATGGCCAGGTGATGAAATTGTCTTTGTGGCTAATTAACAACACTAGATCATCGTTCTACATGGTGGATCACGTACCCATGAACCAACTGGCCTTCAAAACCGAGTATTCCACGCCAGTATCATCCAAGTGCTGCCAAACACCTCCAGTATCATCTCCACCTTTCTCTGTGCCGCTACCACTTAATAAGACAAATCTGTTAATACCATTCCTGATTGCGAAATCAATAAAGGCATTCATGACAGGCACTGGGTCCGGAACTTCTGGAGCCACTAGATACACGGCTTTGATGACTTCATCGTGTGGAAAGGAATGAGTAGAGATAGCCTGGTAAGTTGATGAATCTGTGTAATCAAAGTTTATGGCTTGCATTCCGTCAGGAGCAGTCAATTTGGCTTTTCGAGAAGCGAGAAGGACAGGGATGGAGGCGGATTTAAGACGGTGGGCCAACTGAAGAGATGTTTTGCCTGTACCACCGGTGACGAGAATTGCCATGATGAAGATGAGAAAGGATTGCTTTGACTAGGTATAACAAGATAGATGTGAGATGAAATAATTGGGGGAAGTACGATGAAAGATTTTCAACAGAGAAGGGTAGCTTAATTTATGTAAATGGATGTGGTCAACTTAAAACAGTGCTACTTCACCATACATCATCTGGGGGGTAACAATTACGGACCATGACGTGTAAAAATGCTGGTTCTTCCCAAATGATAAAGATGATTCCGGATCTAGAATCAGACATGTCATTTGAATGTATTAATCGAAGACTTTTGAGGGACTTCATACTTCAAAGAAGCATCTGTATAAAAATTGAAGCGTGATGCGGGGAAATGCGGGGAGATGCAAAAACTACAGCTTGGCCTTGCATATCAAAATGCTGTGTGGAAACTAAGCAGTCACGTCATCAAATATTCTACTATTCAATATGACTTGACACTGTCAAGAATTCAACAGTTCTCTAGTATTGAATTCTATGCATAGATTCTTGGGTCGATCAGTTCAACTTCAATAACATAAAGCCAACTGAGACTTACGATACGTCATACCTAAGCTTGGTAGCTTCATCGCCACCTCTTTCCAAGGCAAGGGCAATGTTGTATCACAATCATGTACTCCGCCTCCAGACTATTATCAAAATCTAAAACCACCGGAACCTGCACGACCTGCTACTTAACTCATTTACTGTATGCCACATAGCATCCAGGAAGAAATTAACTATCCACAGGACATTACACAGTTCACAGGCACAATTTTCAGCATCTGGTAAAGTGACCGCCATAACAATGCCACCACGTTCCTCCAAATCTACCGACGATTTCCTGCTTTCTCCCGGTCAATTGACCCGTCCTCCACCATCTCAATATTATACCTATCGCATTCAACGAGGCGAACAGGGAGTTCTAACATATGAGCCTTACAAATCCTATCTCCTACCTCTTTGGCGATTCCGAACTCCCTCGATTGCAGAAAAGTCATCGAACGCCTTATATGGAGAATTTTTACGTTTTTATAAGGAAGATGATTTTGTAGGTATGGATATGAGTAGAAAATTTATACAAATGGGTATGACGCGATCGAAACGTTATGCGAATCATAAAGGGGGACGAAAATACGATATTGGAAAAGATGGGGTAAAAGTGGAAATACAAAAGAGTCAAGGGCACAAAGGACAGGAAGACAAACTGATCGCTAGTGGCATATTTAAAGAAATGTGGGAAAGGTGCCGGGGGCATGAAGGATACAAAGTTTTGAAGGAAAAGTTTCAAAAGGAGTTGAAGGATCGGATAAGTGTCCACGGAGAGAAGACACGGAATGATGAAGAGAGTTTGGAAGTAAAGGGGCAGGAAGAAAGTGGAGAAGCAAAATATATAAAATAAGAGGGCGAAGAGGTCAGTAACCTGAGGGGGCGTAGACAGCAAAGAGGCCATGGAGTGAAATAAAAAAGGAACAAAAGATCAAGAAGGACGATAGCGTAGAGGAAACGTCGAGCGACCCAAGAACGAAGCGGAAACGAAACGATCTTTGATCTGGCGCTATATGTACACCCTTTGATTTGATTGTAAATCTCACAACATATTCCCATTCAATATTTTAAGTGACGGGGAGCCCATCAACCCTTTACATTGTACTCCAGTAATGAAGATCCAATCGACTTGATGTTTTTTGGGCAATCATCATCCAATACAAATTTGTGTGTCAAGTATGATATTGGATCCCACACAGAGAAACTACCGATGCATCACTTGCTAACGCCATAGAACTCCCCTGTATCCCAATATGCAAAATTTGGAGATTCTTTTATTGATTCGACTTTTCGACTTCCTTGCTGATCTCGTCCTCGCAGCTGTGGATCTATGGGCAAAACCCAAGTTAGCACAATTCATTCAACTTAACTCCCGAGCCCAATTTGATCACTCTTCTTCTACTGCAATTCCACTACCAAAAAAATCAAATGGGAGAAACATACTGCACTCGCCCATGCCATCCATTCCTCTATTCCTCTGACGACCATATCACCACTCGCATCAACCAAACACTCATGCCCCCATACCGTCAAGTCGTCAAAAGCGCCTTCTTCATCAACTATCTTCGTTTCGACTTCCTTTTCTGCCAGTGCATCCTCGTCCTCCTCGTCTTCTCGTCTCTCATCATCAGCAGTCGATTCTCGTGGCATAGTTTCTTCGCCCACTCTCAAAACAACCCCCCTCCATCCTTCCGGAACCTTTACCTTCCTGCCAATCAATCTTCTGCCTCTGAAATATGACACTAATTCTTCCTTTCCCCTTTGATTCTTTGTAATTTTTGGGTCCCAATATCTCTTTTCGATCTTAATTGGGGCCGTGTGATTTATGCGACATGGGATGAGATTGGGTGTGTATTTTTTCGAGGATTTCGAGGAAGGTTGATTAGATGGACGGATCGCGAGCATGATGTTTAGGTTCCTTTATCTTTTGCGATATGTATGCGAGGATAGTTTCTTGTGATTGAATTGTGCAAAGTCAGGTTGAATGAATTGAATTGATGTATATTTGCAATCGACATTAAAGTTTTTGGTAATCCATATGAGTATGATCGTGAGAGACGCGACTTTGACGCGTCTGCGATAAAGTACTTGCGCTTGGACCTCAGACTGCCTCGCCCCACTTAAGCTAACATCATGTTACAGATCGAGCTACCAAGTAGGCTCGTAGGTCAGCAGTATTCGTCTGAATTGTATCCAGATTTGATTTGTATTGAACGAAGCAAAATACATCTAAATGTGTTCTCACTTTAGGTCTTGGAATTTGAAGTTAATGAAAAGCAAAAACAAAAGTTTCCAATATTGAATTTTGAAAAGGAATAATCCAGTATCCATTCGAATCGTTCAACGTAGGTAGTGACAAGATTTCTAAAAATAGCAAGATTCTAGGAAAAGCGGGGCTTATAAGACTTATACTCTTCCAACCTTCGTAGTCTATAATGCTTTTTCAGTGTACAGAGTCAGGACTCAAGGGCAAGGGAGACAAAAAATACAAAACTTCAGGTCGAGACCCTAATGTTACAACTCTCTATCAAACTCGTCTGACAGGGCATCACTCGGTAACAAACGCCCAAACACAGACGAAGGCAACCGGCTCACCAATACTGCCAAACTACTTTTCTGTCATTAAATCGATGAAGATTATCGAAGTTCTTGAAAATACATACTCTGATTCCTGTTATCTTCTCCATCCTCTGATTCTTATTAGCATTCCATTCGAACCAAAGGAAATTACCTAGTACCGTAATCCAATTGATCACTCATACGGATGCCACCATCTCATCTACACTCTTCTTTTGGTTTACTAGATCCGTTTTGAATCATGTGATGTTTTATTCTCAGTACCCAATACCAATGAGAACACACGATGTATATACGTATACCGGTACACGGGTATATAAGCATATATTATAGTATCTTTCCTTCTTCCTCATTGATTCTACTCATCTCTATGGTTTAATCATCCTCTAATAACGGGGTAGGTATGGGTAAAGAGTCATGATACACTCCACCCTTTGCACATGCATGTTGCAACATGCAACATTATCTTACCAATCCAAACCTTCTACGCCTTCTACGCCTTCTATGCCTTCTACTAATTTGTTTACGGGATATCCTCCGTACCACGATCGAATGCCTCATGTCTTCTTCCCTACCAAAAGACAAAGACTTTCCTTTCCTGGCCAATTGAATGTAATCCGATCCGTAAAGAGTGGCTCGGGACGTTGTCCATCGGAATTTACCCCTGGCATATTACATAATCACCTACATTTTCTTCCAAATGCTATATCCCAAGCTTAGGTACGTTTCCCATTTCCCATGCCTTCCACTCTTGACACTCACTCTTAAACACGATTCGGACTTTTTTTTTGGGAAGAGTGGGAAAGATGTATTCTAATCGTTCACGCCGGGAATGTACGGACTCCGAAGATTCCGTTTGATAAGTTTCATTGGGAGAGATCCTTTGGGGAAGTTCATACCTTGTTACATATAACATAGGACCATCGATTTAAGATGCGAGAAAGGATCAATTGATGATGTCAAGACTTTGATATCTTAATCAGATGGATAGTAGGTGCACCACTCATATCCATTCACTGCATCTCTTCTTTTTCCTACTAGCTACTTTTCGCTTTGTCTCCCTGCGCTGAGCCTTATACGAACACGTTAATTATTACACGAAGGGTACAAGTTCATAGCTATAGCCATAGCCATACTAGGTACTCATATTCATACATACTTGGGGTTAGCTACGTGCTAGGTAGAAGTACAAGTATGGTATGTGCAAAATAAAATAGGATTTAAATTCCTATTAATCGGATACCTACCTCGGCAGGATTACCTAGTATGTAGAAAGTTATGTATGTATGTACATACCTGCTATATACAAGCTGTGAGAGGAAAGGTATCTACGAACCAGGTATATCTCACTGTGGACATTCTCTCCGTCAGAATATCCTAAACTAAAAAACACGCAAAGCAATTTTATATTTACATTTATATTTATATTTACCTATGGTACATCTTACTATCTCACCTATTGTCCTTCCCACTTACTTCCCTCCCTTCACAGCCAAAAGCTTGATCAATTAACGTCTGTGTTCAAAGTCCAAGCACATCCAAATATCGATACATTCCACAGAGATCTCCCGACAAGATACACTAATAGCGGGGCTCCCCATCTGCATGAACTATTTTCACCCCTGCCTAAACCATATTCTTACTAGCCCTTGTTTCCTTTCCATGTACTCAAGCATTGAATGTTTGGCGGTCTTCGGGAAACATCGTCATCCGGGTCTTTCATGCTTCGCTCTCTTTTTTTTCGTTTTGATCTAGATTCACAGTGTGAGTATTGCCTCTTTCTTTATATCTCTCTCCTCGGCTTTGTATTGTGTTGCCTTACGCTGATACCGTAACAGTGACAGAAAGATCAATACCAATTCCTCGGTTTCCTTTTCATTCCTTCTTCAAAGTAACCCCAATCAAACAAACCAGTGGTTGTGCACAGCTCAAGCTCAACATCTAGCGTGGTGATAGCTTAGTCTCCACAGCAGGAAAGGTTCCCACCCACGGCACTACCCATCTAGTACCTCGACCGAGTAAATAGTTTTCTCTCTCTTCACCTTACTGTCCTTTCAATTGATGTTTTCATACCTTCCCCTCTACACGCGCAGGTCGTTAATACAATAATTTCCGAAGTTTTCCATTTGAATCTTCCCAAACAAGCTTTCCTATCACCATAATGGCTTCCTACCTCCCCGACACCATCACTGCGCCCATAATGAGGAGTACCGACTATCTCAAGAGTACAATCGGTGGTTTGACTTGGGGCCCAGCTCTTTCTGTCTCAAAAGCTGCTGTCACTTCATTGTTCGGACGAATTGAGCGTGGTACACTTCTCGTTACCGATGCCGAAACTGGAAAAACAATATGTTATGGGGCCAAGATTGCAAAGGAAAATAAGGCCAATGGAGTAAATGGCGTGAACGGACATCATAACTCGCGCAAAGCTGGTGCAGCAAGAAAGATAGAATTGAGAGTTACCAATCAAGCATTTTGGGTGCGCCTCTTTCTGTTTGCCGACATGGGTTTCGCGGAGGCATATATGCTGGGAGAAGTCGAGTGTGACGACTTGACTGGATTCTTCGAGGTATTTCAAGCTTCCCCCATGCCACGCGATCTCATACTAAGAGCCATTTCTAGCTTTTTATCCAAAATCGTAATCAACTGGCAAATGCCACAACTCTAACCTCCTCCATCGCCGCCACTATTACAGGACTCGCCAGGAGTACTAACACCCTGTCCAATTCTCTCCTCAACGTCTCCGCGCATTACGATATTTCCAATGAAATGTTCGCTGCATTCCTTTCCGAAGATATGACATATTCATGCCCAATATGGAAATCGATTTCCAGCGCTTCATCCGGATTTGAAGAGGAAACACTTGAAGAAGCGCAGAGAACGAAACTCGATCGGTTTATAGGCGGGGCAAAAATAAAACCCTCGGATCATGTATTAGAGATTGGTACTGGATGGGGCTCATTTGCCATTCAAGCCGTTAAACGAACAGGATGTCGTGTGACAAGTTTGACCTTGTCCGTTGAACAAAAAGCCTTAGCCGAAAAGCGCATTTTCGCAGCCGGCTTTGCGGATAGGATTGAAGTGAAACTCATGGACTATCGAGCACTACCCATCCCAAAACAACCTTACGATAAGATAATTTCCATTGAGATGCTCGAAGCTGTTGGGGCAGAATATCTGGAAACGTATTTCTCCTGCATCCATCGATTACTGAAACCAGATGGAATTGCTGTGTTCCAATGCATTACCATGCCGGAGGGTCGATATGAGGCTTATGCAAAGGGGGAGGATTTCATTCGAAAATATATCTTCCCGGGTGGCCATCTTCCTTCTATTACACAATTGATTGATAATATCACCAAAGCCTCAGAAGGAACATTGGTTGTTGAAAAGGTGGAGAATATCGGAGGTCATTATGCGAAGACGTTGCGATTATGGAAAGAAAAGTTCTTGGCAAATTTCGAGTCAAGGATTAGACCTGCCTTAATGGCGGAGCACAAGGAGATGGGTGAGAGAGAGGTAGAAGTATTCAAAAAGAAGTGGGAGGTACGTATTTCCACATCCACCATACAAATTATCCCAATATCGCATGCGCTAACATGCTCACACAGTACTATTTCACATATTGCGAGGCAGGTTTTGCAACAAAGACCCTTGGAGATGCAATAATCACAGTGGGCAGAGAAGGAGCATTGGAATTGATGGATGGTATTCCCCTATAGTTTCGAGATATGGGTTTATGTTGCGGTAATTTTCTCGGAGCGCTTGGAGTCGGTGCATGGGAGGGGTAATAAATTTCTCTTCCCTCTAATTTTCAAAAGTCATAGAAAAATTGCCACTACATTAGAGTGGCAGTGTGTTAGACCATATAGACTTGACTTTTTTTTTCATGGACAACTCGTAGTATATTATTAGTGCTGGCTTTTCTTGTGCTTGCTAATCAATGGTGCCTAGCTGGAATGGAATTGTTTTGTTGATGCTCGTAAAAGTATCTTTGGTTTTTGAAACCATCGCTCGAGTCAATGCGTCTCTTTCTTAACGCCAGCCAAACTCCCAACTCCATTGAATGTCAATATTTGCTTGAACAGTATTCTTGTCAACTTTTTTTTTTACAATAAAGTAACGTTCCTACACCATCACCAATCAAATCGTGGTGGCCCTAAAAATCTTCAACGCTTCCCTTTCTTCTTCTTCTTATTGGGCTTGGACTTCGAAGATACACCCGAGTGCGGAGGATGATGCTTTGCATGTTCAATATCAAAAGCCGATTTGTGTTTCCTAAACAAAAGTATAGTTGCCCTTGCATCCTCAATACTAGAATGTTCACCACCTTGTATATCCACACCCAGAATCTCCTTTGCCAACTTCTTCAGACTGGGTGTCCTCCCATTACTGTATTTTCTGAAGCCTGAAAATTTCGATGTATCTCGTATGTCTCTCTTCGGGTGGCTCAGTATCATGGCTTCCAAATCATTCTTTATCGCATGTCCCACCAATATCCTTCCCTTCAAAATCTCGGCCACATCTCTCTGCACCTCACCGAATTCCCTCGCCGTCGCCATATTTTTCGTCGATACACCAGAAACATGAGTTCTCCAATCCGTAACAAACTCTTTGGGTCGCACAAAAGAATCGTATATCTGCGTGCCATGAAAATTGACAATACTAACTCGAGCCAATACCGATCTATCTTCGGAACCTCCTACACCTACCATCTCACAATCAATTCCAATGTATTTCCCTATATCAACGTCTTCTGAAAGCCCGCCATTAATTTTGTCGGCTCGAGCACCTTGAATGGTAGTATCTTTTAGACTCCCTCCATAAGCTTCCGCGAGATCTTTCGCCGATATATCATTATCTTCCGCCCAAAGTGCTAAAGAAGCAGACGGTGCATTCTTTGGAAGTGGTGTATCATCTTCTGTTGAATCCAAAGCTGGCGAACTTCCCATTGCTCCCATCTTTCCCTTCCTCGAAGTTTTAGCGTCTGCAACTGGTCGAGATTTTACTGCGATGCCTTCTAATCTTCTGCGCTTTGCGATACTATCTTTCGTTCTTTCCGAAGGTTCTGCAGCTTTTCGTTTCTTCGCATCCGATTCTGGTTTGGGCGCCTTCTTTAATGCTGCTTGAAGATTCTTCCAATTACTTGATAAAACAGGTGCCATGACTTTTTCTTTGCATATTCCGTTGTTGATATTGTCAATATGATCGCCAAAGAAATAAAATTTGAGGGTTGGGTTTTCACATAGTAAATAAAATAAAATGTATATCGATAAGGCAAGGCTCTGACTGATAAAACTACCTACTCCTCCTACTGGGTATCTGGTAAGGTTATCGAAGGCTAGAGAAAATGCGAGAACATTATTTTTACAGCCTTGTTTTATCAATTTTGCCCCTCCACGGTGCTCCAAAAAGAAGAATCAACAAGCAACTACATAGTGATAAATCAATCAAAATCAATCAAAAATCAATTCACAACCATCAAAATAATTATAAAGTCACATCATGACAGGTCCGTCGCAAGATAAAGATAGTTCTGTAGGAACTCCAGTACCTAAGCAGAAGAGTAAGGCGACAATTGATACATTGGGGTCAGTTCCAATACAATTCCACGGTCGCAAGATTGATGGTGCTAACTAATGCCTGTAGGGTAGGATGTATAGCGATGGTACAGAAGGTTAGTAACCACATACATGTATTTGCTTCACCACTCGAGCATCAATCATGCTTTTTTTGCCATTCCTTCCATTTCTCCATCTTTTTAAGGAAATGAACTTATTTATTTGCTCTACCCAAAAATCGTTATACTAATTCCTTACCAGGATGGTGCACTTAGAAGAGCAGAAATTCTAAGTATAAAAGAGACGAAAAGTGGTCGTCAATTTTATTGCAATTTCGATAATTTCAACAAACGTCTAGATGAATGGGTTCCAGCTATAAGAATCGATTTTACTCAAGATGTTGAATGGCCAGCTCCAGAGAAGCCAAAGGAAAAGTCAAAAGCTCCTCCAGCTGGGAAAAAGACAATCGTTGCCAACAAGAAGAATCAAAAACGTCCAACTCAAGCAAGCAAGAGAGAAGATTCTGTAGTCTCGGAATCAGGTTCAAATGCTCCCCCATGGTCTGAATTTGCGGAGTCTCAGAGGCAGACTCCAGATGCTGATGGAGATGCTAAACTTACTATGGCGTTAGATCTTGATGCTACTCCTGAAGCCAATGATCCCATGGATGTTGATGAAGCTGCAAGTGAAGCAGCAAATGCAAAGAATGAACCTGCTCAACATTTCAGTCCAAAAGAAGAAATCGAAAAATTACGGACCAGTGGCTCAATGACTCAAAACCAAGCCGAAATATCACGTATTCGAAATATTTCCAAAGTTCAATTCGGCAAATTCGAACTTTACCCCTGGTATTTCTCTCCTTACCCGGAGGCATTCACTCAAGAGGACCTCATGTACATTTGTGAATTTTGTTTGTCTTATTACGGAGATCTCAAAGCGTTCACTCGTCATCGAGGCAAGTGTACATTACAGCATCCTCCTGGAAATGAAATTTATCGGGATGATTACGTCTCTTTCTTCGAAATCGATGGTCGACGTCAACGAACTTGGTGCCGAAACTTATGTCTCATATCCAAGATGTTTCTGGATCACAAAACTCTTTACTACGACGTGGATCCTTTCTTGTTTTATGTCATGTGTTCACGAGATGAAAAGGGATTTCATCTAGTGGGATATTTCTCCAAAGAGAAAGAAAGTGCGGATGGTTATAACGTAGCTTGTATTCTGACACTTCCGCAATATCAACGTAAAGGTTATGGACGACTTCTAATCAATTTCTCCTATGAGCTCTCAAAAATCGAAGGAAAGCTCGGCTCGCCCGAAAAACCCTTGTCTGATCTTGGTCTCCTCTCATATCGGCAATATTGGACCGAACGAATCGTTGAAGAGCTTTTGATTCACAATGAAAAGGACGAGAGAATCAGTATAGAAGGTTTATCGCAAAAGCTCAATATGACGAGTGCCGATGTAGAACATACGTTACAGGCGCTAAAGATGCAGGTTTATCATAAGGGGGAACACAAGATGGTTTTGCCGACTGCATTGATCAAGAGACATGAGGCGATGAGGGAAAAGCAGAAGTTAAAGCCGAAGAGAGTGATTGATCCTTCAAGGATTGTTTGGAAACCGTTCAAGTTGGTGGATAGAACGTGGGGTTGGTAAGGTGCGTAAAGGGGCTGATGGACACTCGATGGAAAAACTTCTGGCTCTCTGTGGAAAAATGGCGTTAAAAATCTGTCATGTATGGTATTTAGCGTGCGGTTATTGGAGAATTAATACGTTAATCGTTGGATTTAGGATCTTGCGACATATCTGCAACCATGCGTGAGACAAATCACTTCGAAGTGCACGAAACTTACCCCATTCCATGACACTGATTATTTAAAGGAATCACATGTGTATAACGGCTCCAAAGTCAACAAGGTAAAAAAATATCTCAGATATCGTATCGATGAACGACGACAAGGTTCTCACAGACAATTCCCAAAAAATCCAAATGCGGGTCCTAATCCATGAAATGACATCTCCATAAAATAAAGTGTTATGGATCAATTGACCTGGGTATGTTTGATGAACGAACTTTATTTACAATGTTACTTTGACCATGTGGTGAATATGAATGAATGATTGGTACGAAGATAAGAAATGAGCTTTTAGGAGATGGGATGATGCTAGAATTTCACATTGATATACCGGTGGGTTAGGTATAACGTAGTTTATTAGTGAATGGATTATATCAATAAATGAGTCATTTTTATCTCAATTCATTCTTTCAAACCTATATTATTCAATAATAATTGAATCAATTGATTAAAACTATTTAGAATTTAATAATTTAGAATCTATTATATTATTTTAATAAATTTTTATATTATAATCTGTTTTTTTATATTTATTATAATATTGAATAGAAAATACTTCTTTATTAGATTTATTCTCTTTTTGATATTTATTGTATTAAATCTGAATATCAATCTTTTATTGAAATAATATGTCAAAAGCCTTTTATTTAATAAGTATTTCTTTTTAATGTAATTAGATTTTTTATATATATTAATATTTGCTTAATATTTCATTTGTTTTTCGAAATATATAAATTTTTATATTCAAAAGTATATTTTTATAAATTAATCTTTCTATACTTTTGATTAGAATTAATATAATTTTAAATATAAGTATAAGAAAGTTTAATTGATAATAAATCATTTAAGATTTAATTAATATTGATTGAAAAAGAGTTTTAATTGGATTACAAGAGGTTTAAGAGATTTATTGATTTAGATTAAAAAAGAAAGGGGTAGATATATAAATTTGAATATCTAATTTTGAAAATACAATTTCAGAATTAAATAATATTGAATTTATTCCTTGAAATTCTGATTTTATATTCTAAGAAATAATTAATTTCTTATATATAATTTTAAAAACTATAAAGAATTCAATTTTTGAAATATAATTAATTTATATTTTAATAAATTTATCAATTTAATTATTATATAAATATTTTAAATTACTAAAACAATCAATATCGAATAATTAAATTAAACAATTTAAATATAATAATAAATATAAATATATAATATTATTCTTTTTATAATATATTTGAAAAATTATTGATTTATGACTTTTATATTTATTTAATATTAATATTTGATATTTGCTTTTTCTTTGATTCTTGATATATTTATTAAAATATTTTAATTATTCTAAATTTATTTTATTATTTATTTATCTATTAGATATAAATTTAATAGTTTATTCTATAAAAAAATTAGTTTTGATATATTAATTAAAAAAATAGATTTATTTCTGGATTATTAGAAATAGAGGAATAATTTTATCTTCTTTATTTTCATATATTATTACTATAACTATCACGTGCATGGTTACACACACATAGAAGTTGTAAGCTTTACCACTACGCCACACACGCAATCTGTCCAAAAGGCACAGTATCAGGGATCGATATACTGACAGCTTACTACTATATATATATCTGTAACAATAACTTATTCTCGATTATCTAATTATATTGATGTGCTTTTACTATATCTCTTAATATTAATAATTATTATTATTGTATATATAATTCCTATTATAAAATTTATTTTATTGAAATTATAGAAATCTTTATTTAAAATGCTATATTTTGTTTATATATTTATAATTAATCGAAACTATTTTTCAAAAAACTTGAAATTTTTATAAAAAAAATTTGAAAGTTATAAATACAATTAAAATATATCTTCAATTCAATTCAATGTTTTATAAATCGATATATTCAAAGTTTTTTAATATATTTTGTACCCCTCAATTCGAGAATATGATTTATTATATCTTTTATATTTTTAAGTTTAAATAAAAAACCTTTCAAATTTATATCAATTATATATTTAGAAATAATATTTTCTTTTAATTTGAAAAGATTATAAAATTTAGATTGATATTTGGAGTAAAAAGTAAAATCTTTAATTCTATATTATAATATTGTATTCGGAATATTATATAACTTTGTAATTTTTCGAATACTTATTTTTTTATCTTTTTAAATAGTTTTAATAATAAGGAATATACAAGCTTTTTAATTATTCGAATTTATTGTGAATTATTAATAAAATATATATTGAAAGAGAAGAGAATAAATTGAAGTGAAAGTAACTCATTCACTGATATAACCCACTCACTAATAAACCACATTAGTGGAGGAAAGTTGCAGTCATGAGAATGAGTTGGCAATCTGAGTATTTTGACCTTTTTCCCTCTCTGACGTATTTCACAACATGCGACAAATCACAAGCAATAGAGGTAGAATGATGTTGTAAAAAAGTCGGTTCAATTCATATTTGAATTTCGCGATTGGGAAAATAATTACAAAAAGGTATCTTTCATCATCTCTAGCCAGGCTCTTTACCCAGCCATCACCCAGCCATCTTATTCGTATCATCTATCTCCACCTCTACCTCTACGGTCCATCAAACTCCATTCAATGTTGAAACTCCTGGTTTTTGTAATTTACTCGGCATCGCAAGTATCATCATCGTCAGTCGAAGCAGAGGTGGAATGAGGAGCGGCGACACTGGTCTTTGCGGATTTGGTGGCGGAAGAGTGGGAAGTAACTGCTGGTGCAGAGGAAGCCTTGGAAGAAGGAACAGCTATGTGAGAGACAACTGCTGCAGAAGATGCCTTGGAAGAAGCTGCGGAAGCTGGCACAACAGAGGCTGGGCTGGATTTTGCGGAACTTGGTGCTACGACAACAGATGAAGAGCTAACTGAAGTTGGGGTAACAGAAGAGGTCTTGGCAGATGTTGCTACAAGCTCTTCTGGGGAGGCGGATCCACTTCCCGAAGCATCTGGAGCTGGCATGCTTGAGTCATCAGCTCTCTTGCATCCGGTGCTCTTGGTCAATGCTGCTGGACATTCGACTTGTTTGAAATCGACAGTTGGGTTGTCGGCGCTTTCGAACCAGTTGAATCTGAAGTTGCAACCTGGTTGAAGGGCAGCTGGGAAGGTTGAGCAGGAAGAGACGGCGGAGACACCACCATATTGTGCACCCCATCCTGAGGAAGGAGCACCGAATTCGGTTGTGCAACCATTGAAGATTCCAACGCCTCCACCTGGGATAGCCAAATCAAATTGGTTTGAGCCAAGATCACCACCGGTGTTACTACATTGAAAGTAATGTTAGAAGACGCATTCGGGGGAAAAGGAGGTGATATGAATAGAAAAAATATTTAACGTACGTAGCTTGAACAATCATCTTCTTGCCAGCAAGAGCAGTGCTGGTGAAAGTCAATTCATAACAAGCACAACACCATGAAGCCTCGCTTCCACCAGCGATGTTAACAGCGGCATAACCATATGCCAAATCATCGCTGACTGCCCAAGGAGATTGGTCTGAGCACATGTAAGAGTTTCCACCGTCGCATCCAGAAACAGCAACTGCGGTAGGGTCTGAAAGAGGTGAGTCCTTAACATCGCAGGTTCCGACTGGTCCAGAGCCAGATGCGAGAGCAGCTTTGCCAGACCAAGCGCAAGATGGCTTGCAGCAATCCCAGTAACGAGTGGTGGTACCGGAACCAGAAGCTTGAGCACTAACTTGGAGGAAGAAAGGGAGGAGAGCGACGAGAGTCTTGATTGGGAGCTGCATTTTGAATTTGGTTGTGTGATTGAAGGGGCAGATGGAAGAATTCTTAGTTGAATTTGGTCTCGGACCGGAAACTTAGATATGTACTTGAAAAGAGTGAATAAACTCGACTTGGAGTTGTGTGTGAAAGATGCGAAAGGCTTTCGAAAAGAGCGTGATATTCAACAGTGAACGTAAGGAGCAAAGGTGCTTGAAGGAAGAAGAGAAGAAGCGCTCATGATGCAGAGGGATTATTCCTTATAAACATATAGGCATACTCCATTAAATTGTCTAGAAGGTTTTCCAATTAATTTATTCATCTCTCCGATTGTATATTGGAAACAGTGGCGTATGAAAGGAACGGTAAGCGTCTTGAACTTCAAATGAAAACCAATTGAATGACGGCCAAAATAAATATACCCCTGATCTCAATCCTTGATGACAGACAAGGAATTATATGATCGTTTGTTCGGTTCATTCGGATATGATGAATTTATTTTAACCGACCCAGTAATATTTAACCAGATATTTCAACGTTGGGTCTCCTTAATTCATCTCATCGTTGGTACCTGCATATAATTTTTGTGGACTGTACCTTTCAAGTTCTAATCGAGTGTTTTTGGAGATTGGATCTTGCTAAGTGATAGGGGAAAAATCGATTGGCTGTCTAGACTCCAATGCTTTCTTGATTTGCTTAAAAGTAAAAGCAAATTGGGAGATTTAAGTGGATATGTGACAAGCTGTGCATCCTGTCTTGTTGCTTTTGTAATACGAATCTGGACTGACTCAGGGTTATTATCCATATTGGAATTGAATTAGGCGCTGCTTCATCCTGAACTTTTCGGTTCAAGAAGAAATACCAACAAGTACTTTTGTTGACACCCAAACTCGGTCAGGTCATTCCATTCCAAGTGAAAGAAAACCTGAAGACTGAACTCAATGTGAATTTCACTGTTGCCTCCAAAATAAGACTGAATGTAGATTCTGCGGCACAGTACCTAATCTCGCTTCTTGATCCTTAACCTAACTAAAGGAAGCCGAGGGAAGCTTTATCGTACTTCGTATATTGTACTCTTCGCCAGCCCCACCACGAATAGGCGCAGCAGGGTAAGCACATGATTGTAACAATATATCCATGCATCGGCTGTACTTCGAATCAAAACGGTCAAGCTATTTGATTAATCCGCCCATACGAGATTCCTGTAGCCAGCCTTGAGATCTTCGACCTACCCCTGAATGGATTAAGATCCTAGTTGTCAATTTTTCAACTGCTTGAAAGTCTATCAGATTAGTCTGTAGATGTCATCATTCGCGTGAAATGTCAAGTCCAATGATTTCGATCATGAGTGCGACATCAACACAATCAATGTCTATCCTTAGTCTGTACCACGTCAGCGAACTCTAAAAGAGACATTACACTGCAACGTTTCTACGCATTTCATCGCTTTTCTGTTCTCAAAACTTCTTAGTATCGTGAATGCCGCTGTGCATTTAGTATATGATTTTAGAGAAGCGAAGTTGGTCAAAGGATGTCAGGATTTGATAATCACTTCAATGAGGGAGGAAAGAAAGAAGGACTAGAGCGAGTTATCTATTGAACAGATCTATGTCGATATTTCATAGTTGAATGCTACCTAATGTCTTGTAAAGTACTAAACATTAATATATCTCACAACATATGAATTGTGGTTAACCATTCATTATACGCTACATAATGTGTAGAATCTATCAATGCTGCAAAATGAGATGACGCTCCGCTGGCTCTCCGAGGGCCACTGCCGTGGAGGCAGACGATTTAGAAAGAGATATGAAGAATTAAACGTTGCCTATCTACCTACCTACTTACATAAATACACACTCTGTTGATTATGATGAATATAAAGTAGATTCAAAATTGGTAAATCGGAAATAGATCCGCACGTGATCTGACAAGTATCTTTTATCTATCCCTTATCCTTTATCTCTCACGCTTCACATCCTCTTATTTGTCAATTTTCTCGATTCTGGGGTAAGTACGGGCCCAGGAAAGATACTAGCTCGAATTGGTGATAGCTCGCGTGCTTTTTTAATCATGGTACGAGCTTCTAAACTTATGAGGTCAACATCGAAGCATTTAACTTTCACATCTTCCGAGGTCTCCTTCATCCGTGATTCCAAGTATCAACAACCATCAATCCGCTCACCCGCAACTCATTTGTGTAACCATCTTCCTGCTCGTTGTTTACATTCAACTCAAGATCAAAACCACAAGAATAGAATTGTAAAGAATAGTACAACACAACATAAAACAACGAGAAAGCAACAAAATGGCGCCACCGGCTCGAGCCCTCCTCTCGTATGTTTATCTCCCCAAGTCTCCCTTCAATTCTTCTCTGCCTTGTTATGTACTCGAGACTTGTTGTCTTTAACTCGGTCGTCTTTATTGGCGAGTGCTGCGAATATTCACTTGTCCTAACTTTACATGCGCAGACGTCAAAGATTGATTCTTGGTACCTTTCTTGGTGGCGGAGCTCTTTTTGTCAGTATGAAATGGAAAGCCGTTATGCAAAGAAGTGAGGCCGCGAAGATTGCTGGATCAAAACAAAATTTTGCTGTTGCTGCTGGTAGAAGCGGTGAGACTTTGCAATAACCCTGAATTGGTGATTGTTTGCTAACTGATGGTGAAGGTGGTGGAATTTGAACATTCTAAATGGACTCGATCGATAACTGGTTAGAATTATAAATTGGGAGAAAATTGGCACACACGGAATCGGGTATTACATGGCAGATATGATAGATGATAAACACGCATACACAGGTGGGGCTACATTAGGTTCACGATGCAACAGAGAAAGTATAGTCTAGGGCGTTTGGGATTCATTCTGGTGACGAAGAGAGAACCATACAGAAATGCCTTGAGATGGATGACAAGATCGTTGTGTTACACCCAATCATGACATTTGGCTAATATGCTCATACTGATAAAGATTCTGAACCCTCTCAGATACCATTCTTTTCCAAGACTTCACCAGTAAGTTTCTTTTGGGATTTGTGTTTGAAGTGGAAATTCATGTCATTCCAGTGAGAACATGAGAGCATTTCAATCTATAGAAATAGGAGAATCAGATTCTGGTCGAGTAGATTCTACTTGGGATTGAAAGGAGATACGCTCATGCACAGTCTAAAGTCAACTTTAATCCTGTGGCAAGGAGCTGATATCTTTCAATCCCATCATACAAGTCTTTCAAAGATAATTCATTATTGTCTCTCTGTCTCCCTCCCCTCTCCCTCTTTCTCTTTCTTTTCCCTCTCTCTTTTCTTCGTCTTCCTTTCTCCTCTCTCTTCCTCTTCCTCCTTCTCTTCCCTTCCCCTCTCTCTTCATCTTCCTCTTTCTCTGTGTGTATGTGTAAGTATCATTCGAAGATGTGAAATATTCCCTGACGCCTAAGATCTGTGGGGGTGAACGTAATAATTATTCTTGTTAAAACATGAGTACTTAGGTTCTGACTTAGTAATTACCGGATACTACTAGATACCACTAGGTAGGTAGTACACTTTCAAGTCTACTGAGCTAATGTCATTAGCCTGGCGCACAAATCAAATTCTCCAAATCCTCTGGGTCAATTCTACTTCTACTTACATTTCATATATTGGGAATATCATCACACGCATACATTTCCCTTCTCCCTTCAACATTCTTCCTTCATCCTTCATTCGTTCTTGATTTTCCTTTTATATACATTTTTCTCTAACTTTTGATACACTAATATCATTCTTTGACCTACACATGATCAATCTCATCACAAAAAATTTCTCTCCAAATATATCACTGGGTGATTAATTGGATCTATTTCTCTTCAATATTTGTATTCATTTAATCATAATCATTCTCACTATTCTCACTATTCTCACTATTCTCACTATTCTCACTATTCTCACTATTCTCACTATTCTCACTATTCTCACTATTCTCACTATTCTCACTATTCTCACTATTCTCACTATTCTCACTATTCTCACTATTCTCATCATTATATTTCTCTTGTCTATCACAAACATTCAAATAGTACCAAAATAAGCGGGCATTTAAAAGTAGTATCGTTATAATGAAATATGATCAGGAAATTTCAAAATGAGTTTTAATCTTCCGGTGGAGATCCTGTTGTCAATATGCGATTACTTATCTCCTGTATCAGCAGCTGCTTTCTCCATATCTTCAAAAACATTGTATCATAAGTTGAATGATTGTTTTACCAGAAATTTGAATGAAGAAGATAAGTTAGCATTACTGGATGTATTGGCTACTGAGGATGAAATCGGCTGCCCATACTGTCTTCGTCTACATAGTATGTCAAATGCAGCAAGATATAGCTTGGGATCGGTGGAGAAGGGACGTCAATTCCAGGAATTGACACTATGCGTTCTATCTTCCTTCAAATCTCTAAATCATAGGCCTGCCAAAATTTCTGGTGTTATCTTCAAAATGGCCATGAAACGTCATCAGTTCACGCCGGGATGCGATGAGCTGTTGAAAATATTGTCAGGGAACTCACGAACTCCAGAGATAGATAACAGTGATGGTGTCTCTTGGCAAATTCGGACAGATTGTAAGATTACACAAGGCTTGATGATCTATCGTAGACAGGAATCAGTCCTTTTCTCAAATTTCATGGTCGACAAAAGGTCTTGGCACGTAGATATTGAGGTTTGCGCGCACCTAACTATAACTTTGAACCCAGAGCGTGCACGGCTTATGGACTTAGGCAATAAGAGATTATTAAATTCCTTCTCAGAAGTGTTACCACTGCCACGTTCACAGCTCCCAGTTCGGATTCGAGGACCACAAACTCCCCTACCAGCAAGACCAACATGCGTCAGATTTCATGCGGGGGCTGGTCGGGTCAATAATAACTCTGATTTCAATTGGCCCGTTCACAGCACAAGGGAACCTTTGAAATGCGATGATTGTCCCACTGAATACTGCCTCGAGCTTGACTTTAATGACAGCCGAGGAGTTTTTGCAACAGTGACTACTTGGGCCAATCTAGGAAGTGGGCCTGATGATTGGAGGTATCTAATGAGACATGTTGAGCCACATGCTGCAAATAAGCGTAGCTTGAGTCGAGGTAGAATTTGCTATGACTCCTCACATCAGAGCCACTGGTCTGCTTTCCAGATTGAGGATGATGGAGAGGTTAGCTTGCTTTCATCGGAGAATAAGGAGAGGATGTATCAAGCACAAGTTGACGGCGCTACGTCTTCAGATGAAAAAATGTATTAGGCGTTTGGTGTCAGATATCTCTACCTTATCGTATTTAGGTTTGTTTGGGACATTTGGACGCGGAGCATGGCGTATGAATCAGATATTTTTGGATTTTTGGATTTTCAGGATGGATAAGCATAGTGACAAAAGCTGTCATTCTATGATAGTACCAATAACAAAATGTTTAATGTAATTTCTTGACTTACAGTATCGTGTAGTGATCATCAAGTCTGAATAGAGGGCACATTGTTTTCGCCTCAGAATCAAAGACAATTCTTCCGTCAGATTGAAGAATGCGAGACAAATATATGCGTAACTAACTTCTTGGACAACGCGGACAAGGCATTCAAAAATTAAGACTGAAATATTATATATAAATTCTTAACATCTCATAAAAGCAAGCTATTCCACAAAGTGAAATTCGGTATTTCATTCACTTGAAAACAGTCTAATTTTATACGGTAATATAAGGCTTCTGATTGTCGAACAGAGACCCGGTTCATTTAAGACTCTAGATGTAGAGAATGATAGAATGTATTAGATGCTCAGAACAGCATCTTACAAGAAAATTATTATGTCGATGCCTCACCCTTCCTGAACGATACCCTGCAAGGAAATCCATCTGCAGGATGGGCAGCTCCTCCATCAACTTGATATGATCTTTCTCCGTCTATTTCTTTCATCCCCTTTTTATCCCCAAATTTCTTATCCCATTCTTCATAAGCATCCTGTACATCCAACTCCCTGACGACCATGGACAATATAATTTTCAATTCCATCATCACCAAAGCCTGCCCGATACAATTCCTTGGTCCCAACTCAAATGGCCTCCAAGCTCCCTTTGTATCACAATACAATTCATCGCCTGGTTGTGCAAGCCATCTCTCAGGAAGAAATTCTTTAGGACGTGCCCAATATTTTGAATCATGTTGAATTGGCAAGTGGAGCGTGTATAACATGCAATTCTCAGTTGGATAAATGTTTCCCTCTTCATCAACCAAGTCCACACCTTTGAGTCCTTGTCTAATACTAGATGCGGGTGGAAAGAGACGAAGAGTTTCTTTGATAACGGCGGTTGTATATGGCAATTGATTGATGATAGTCGAGTCCTCTTTAATAAGTTTTGGAACAGCGGGAATGTCAGTTCCGAATACTGAATCGTGTTCTTGGGTGAGTTTTTCGAGGGCGGAGGGATTTTTGGAAAGAAGATAGTAACACCAGGATATGGCACTACCTGTTGAATCATGTCCGGCGAAGAGAAGGAGTCGGATGTTACGAGTAGCGATGGTGCGGAATTCTTGGTCAAGACTGGTTGCATCGATTCGAGCAGGATCAGCTATGTAGTCCTCGATAACTAAATCAATGATTGATTTGAAGGGTTCTGCTTTGTCTTCCAGATGGCCGTTTGTTTCGGAATTCTTAGATACTTTGTAAGCCTCAAAGCGCTTGTCAAGTTCTACGTTGATATATGCATCCATTTTCCGACCATTGCGCCACTCTTTAATTGGACGTACGAAATTGAGCCATTGGAGAGGGTTTACTTCTTGATTTGCTAGTTTACTTTTGATTTGATTCAACATGGTATCTGCAAGAGGATTATACCCTCTCTGAGCGTTGAGCTTTGCGTTCCTAGTTGTGTGAGTATTTCTTACTTCGCCTATTTTGACTCTCCTATTCTACGCATACCACATTTATATGCAGTGAATGTAGTGAAATTAATTGACTCACAGAGCAGTATTCCCAATCAAATCAATCATAAATCTCAAATTGATCCCATCTAGCTCAATTATCTCCCCATTTCTTGCCTTTTCTCTTAATCCTTCCGTGTAGATTTCAACCTCATCTGTGATACCGGGAACCAAATTCATTAGATACTTGTTGCTGAACCCCCTGGCGAAAAGACCTCGTAGATTCTTCCACTCGTCATATTCCGCATCAAACATACTGATACCACCTGCGATGCTCCAAACCCAAGTTCTCAGAGCATCAGGCTTGCGATATGCTATCGGAGTAGATTGTACAGCTTGATTTGCGAGAAACGGAGAAGTGATAATCAGGAATGGGGCAGCAAAGGGATATAGATCAAGGTAGAAAATGCCATTGCGGGAGTATTTGCGGGCGAGAGCAGCAAAAAGGTATACTTTTAGTGCATCTGCTGGGAAACTTTTAATGACATTGCCTAGCTCGATAAGATGGCCAGCTAGGAAATTATGAGGTGGCATTGGCTGAGAGGAGAATATTAGTGTAACAAATCACGTTTGACAAGGGGAGTAACTTACCAAGCCACGAGCTGATAATTTTGTGAAAAAATTCCGCGCGGTATATAGCTTAGGTGAAAGCCATAGTAGGAGAGTAAGAAAAGATAGCAAAACCGTAGTCCATATGAAGCCCATGATTATGTTTTCTCCCGAGAGAATGCAATCAATCTGGAACTTCTGGATTTGGTACTTGGAGATGCTTGAAAAGATGCTGAATGAGACAATTGAATGGGAGCTGACGGAGTGGCTGGAGATGATGCGTTGTAAGTACTTCAAATGTACGTACAAAGTTATTCTTTAAGCGCCAATGATGATTTGAGGATATCGTGGTCTCACTAAGTGCACTGGAGGGGACACGATCACAGTAACTATCTGTGAACAAAACTCAAGTCAACACACCCAAAGACAATTTCGACGAGGCAATGTGGCTTTCCTATCTTATCGAGCCTTCCAGATCATTATAAAATGTAACCATATCGTCTTCAGATTGTTCATAAAAATGCGGATCTGGCACGTTCCAACAGTTATCTGCTAAAAATGTCGGAATGGAAATGGATAGCCCTGTCTTCACGCAATCGAAAAAAACAGGCGGAAATTGAGTACCCCTAGGGAGAACTTTAATAATTCCGGTTTATCTTCAACATTGTATTATGTATATATGATTCTCACTTCTGATACGAATAAGGCTTAAATTTTAGTTGGTTTCTTCATATCTTGGTATTTAATTCGAAATTGATTTGCAATTCAATTAACGAAGTCCTTGAAAAAGGTATTGAAATTCTGCCTGTTTTTTTCCGCTTACATAGAAGAGCCTGACGGTCTAGATTCCCCTGGTTACGATGTTATTCATTGGTCCAACCCATATAAACCTGACAAAATCAAAAATCTGACTGGACACTTACTCATGCCACTAGAAAGTGTGCAACTCCACTGCTAAGGAAACCAGGTTCGTCCCCTTATACTATGTAATTTACTATCTCGGCACAGTGCTTGATACACAAAGCTTCGGAGTTGCGACTGTTACATAATTTCTGGCCCCACGATCGCGAAATTCTAGATAAGTTTAAATATCATGGAATTGCCGATTCGACTTATGCAGGGAAAATGGGTTACTATCAAAATTAGTGATTGATTCAAGTTGAAGCTTCTTTTGAAGCTTATACACGGACTCCGGAGTAATAAGAACTGCACTTTTCAAGCATGGGAAAACTGCGAACTCCATGTAATAGCTTGAACTTACCCTTATTCTCGTATAGGTGGACTTTTAAGGTTCATCCACAGCTATCTCTTGTCGATCTTGTATGTGTATGGTTTTCACATTCTCACTTACGGCTGGATCGACCCATGAATCTCATAATCTCGATCCATGAGGCCATCAAGCTTAGCTGACACATTTTGACTGATATTTGACTTGAATGAGCTTTGTCATATTCCACCGTGGAACTGAGTAGATCAATAGCTCCAGAATTAGTACATATAACACTAGTCGCTTCTGAAAATTTAAAAAAAAGCAAATCGCGTATGGTATCTGTCTCCCGACTCTTGTATAACTTCACGGCATTTGGACGAAACAATCGATTTACTAAATCACTCAAATCGTATCGTATATGAAGAACACTCACGTTTCAATAACATCTGATGATATTGATTCATTCGAAAACATAGTTCATATAGTCTTCATAACGAACTGAAGGTCTTCAGATGTAGTTGTTTCGTTTTTGATTCCGAATAATTCTTTGATTTGATGTCGAACATTGCTCAAGTTTATGCTTACCAAAAGTATGTTTCCGGTAGCGCATTCTGGAACGTCAAGATGGTCAACAACACTGCTGCTGTGGATGGGGAGGGCATCACTTCAGACTACTGGTCATGGGAGCTTTTAGTTGATCAAGGTGTTATTACACCCACAATCAATGGATCTTATTGTTAAACTCTGGGTATCTCGTGGTCGATGGACGATTGATACAACAAGTCGTCGTCTGACTTCTTTCACATGTATATATAACTTTAGGGGATGACCAATTTAATGAAAGTAATGAATATCATTTTTACACAAAAGTTTACACATTGCATATTGCAAAATTGGAAGTGATAAAATAAATTCGCGACTGATCATTCCCCCTTGATCTTCTCGGGTAATCTTAGTCTCGTCAACACGTTCCTGCCTATCTAAGACTACGGAAATACTTGCCCTAAGATGTTTTGACTCTTACATGCTGCTAAATGTGTAATTACAATTACGGCCATGAATTCGTGTTTCAAGCATCGCATACACTCAGAATAATGAACCTGCCGCCACAACAACGAAAAGAAGCTATCCACCTGAGCCACTTAATCATCCAAATAAAACTGTATATTGAAAACATGGAAATTTTATACAAGATACATCACTATCTTTCGATTATGAAAAAATCGGCCAAGGAGAACAAGTCAAGAGCTCCCAAAGTTTGATGTTCAATCTCGGATTAAAATGATAATTGTCTGATTCGATATCAAAAACTGAAAGACAGTACCTTTGGAATGTACCGTTTGTTTCTCCCGTCCAGCTGGAGCCTCCTCCTAATATTCTACAATCGAGACTTGTCCCTTTTGTCATTATCGCTATATGGTGCGTCGCTTGCCCCGCACACTATTCCGCCCTCATTCCGCACGTATTTACTTTAAATACATGTACACAGTAGATACCTAGGTATCTATAAACCAGTTCAATTGGTATACCAAGCTTGCTGACAGAATTACATACTCTGCCCTATTCCTCTAATATCAACCACGTCTCAAGCCCCTATACTATCCGAATCTCATATATAACATCCCAGAAGCTATCCTTGACAAGATGGAAGGTAAATGTCTCTGCGGCGCCATAACCGTAACAATCAATGACTCGGAACTCTTCTCACGCCCAAGAGGTCATCTATGTCATCGTCTGAATTGTAAAAAGACAGCTTCATCGGGTATGTGGAACTATCTCAACTCATGAGAAAGCGATTAACAATGAGACTAGCATTTGGGAGTAATTTGGCAATCGAGAGTGAAAAAGTAACGATTAAAGGGGCGGAAAATATGAATGTATATGAAGACTATGATACATCGAGCGGAAAATGTGTTAGGAGGCACTTTTGTAAAACATGTGGAAAGTGGGTTTACCATTTCATTTTCCAGTTCATGCCTCCTGATATTTATTCCTTAAAGTTACGTGAAATTGTTAACAAGATCCACAGTCCAATTCAATCAATCGCTGAAGCATATCCTGGTAAGACCATTTTGAAGATGGGAATCTTTGAGAAAGTCATGACGCCAGAATGGGAAAGTTTCGTGAAGGATAGACACCCATGGCTACCAGCAGTAGAAGGAGCGGTGCAATTCAAGTCGGAAAGTGGTGGAGAGAAAGTGTAGTAGTGCATGGTTGTTCTGATAATTTGAGTTTAAGATAAACCGTATATGGCTATGCTTAAAATGACAATAGGTGGAAACGGTTCATCTGCTATGAGATATCGGTAATCTTACGTTAATTTGAATGGTCATGTATTTTTTAGATAAAATTTGGTAGATGTCTCAATCGTTGACCTCAGCAGACATACCAACCAGACCCAAGGTTTCGCTTCGAGCTCCCGTGGATTTCCGTCATTTGGTCTCTTGAGCAATATACTGAGTTCCTTTCAGACGTGCGTCCAAACTATGCTTTGGTCGGAGTTCTGCCCATTCTAGAGCAGGATGTAGTGAGCAGGATGTAGTGGAATAATACTGCTCTACACCAAGCTTTTCCTTGTGAACATAAGATCTGGGACAAGTGCTGCGAAACATAATCGAGTGTACTACGAGTAGCAAGTACGATCTTTGAATATGGTCCTTGTTCAACCTCATTTTCATCTTCAACCTCATCCTCCTTTAAGTGAAGCGGGGGAAGGTGCATTCTCAGGCCCAAATCGAGCTTTGAACGATTTCCTAAGTAGGAAATCTTGCTGTAGTTGAGATATTCAAGAATCGCTTACGTTACATAAACAATAATATATTTAGCAAGTGTTAAAGATCGAGGTGTTACTTACTGTCCCAAGGGTTAAGGCATTTTCGACATCGGCGGTTCTTTGCATGAAGCCAAGGTACTGCTTTCCCAAAAACTTTTTTGAACAATTAAGATGTGACCAATCCGGTCGACCTTACTGGTAATACCTAGAAGACATGAAGTTTTACTTCGCAGCCAGATTCCACTCACTAGTTAGAAATCCCTTATTTTTCGTCGTATGATCAATCACATGACTTTCTATGTTCAATTTGAGGTGTTGTTTGGAAGGATCACAGAATGCGACTTCTTCACTTGGCGAAACCTACGATATCTCAGGGTCAGCGCATTCGACTAGCTCAGGACTAGGAATTCTTAAATAGAGCACTTCTCCTCCATTTATTTCTTCCATTCCTTTCTTTTTCTCTTCTCCATGCTGCCTATCCAACAAACTTCTTTGCCAGATTTCTCCTTTTCAAGTCCTCGTCTTCAATACAAGCATCATGTCTCGCCGATATGGTACTGACCAACGAATTGTCAGTTTGACCTTTTTTTATAACTACATTCGCCACTAACGGTTTGTCTTGTGGATATATGCTGGCCCTGGTACAACTATAAACATCACTGCCACCCCCATTCGACGTGGTCCTGTAAGCTGAAAATCCTTCAAGTTCATTTTGATTCGTTTCATACTAACAGACCATTCAGAATCGCCGTCAAAGACGCAAGGCCGCTGCCATGGCCAAGCTTGCTGCTGCTGCTGCTGCTGCTGCTGCCGAAAATGCTGTCAAACAAACAACACAAGCTGCCAATCCTCATTCCGAAGCCGTTAAACCTTCATCCAAAGTTGTCGATTCCGCTGCCAAGTCTCCCGAACCGATCACGCAACCTGCGGCCAAGGAAATCTCTGATGAAGTTGAGGAGAATGTGGGTTGAGGAGATGGAATTGACATTGATGTACAGAGCTTTGTGGGCAAGGACATAACACACTAGATGTATCTTAATTACACTTGCTGCCAATACAAATCTAAGTTCACCTTCTATAAACCCTCTTGCAGACGTCGCAATGAATGAAGAACAAAAGTAGACTTGCAAAACCAAGGAGTCTCTCACCAAGCACTTATTTCTCCTACTGATAATGCATAGTAAACATGTCAATCGTCTTTCAAAGCTCAAACACAACATCATGACATATCCCCTGGAGGTATCAAAATTATTTTATTATATCACCGCATTTCTATCTAAGCTAATGAACCCCCAAAGTCTCCGTGTTGTACAATCAATAGATAAGCCCACGCTTAACCCCAGGTCCCACCTCCACCGCTCCTACCCTGCCTCTTTTGCGCACTCAATCTCCAATCATCCTCTGCCGCAAACTTATTATGAAGAGGTTGAATCCTCTCTGCCTTCTTTCTCTTTGACAATTTCCCTGCATCCGCCACCTTGAAGAAACTTGGTGCCGCACTCACCAACCACTTAGGATCAATAGTTGTTGTGCAATGCATGTATTCTTTCGTCGTCATTACAAGGGTATGATAAATAACCCATTCGGCTTGTTTACCGAAAAGAGCTGATGAAGGATGTAAGTATACAGGCGTGCTTTCAATTAAAGTTTTGTATCCTTCCTGAGGATCCTTTCGAGCAGAATTTCGGAAGAATCCAGAGCACAGTGCTTGTCGAACTTTATCTGTGTTACGACCACAAGATACAATAGGATGCTTGTATCGTTCCATGATTTTTAGTAATTGATCGCGGACATCTTTTGCGCGTTTCATACTTCGTGCTTGAATGAAATTTTCGAAACACCATGGGCTTGCAAATTTATTCTGCTTCCAACTGTTGTAAACATTCAAAAGTGTGAGATGGTCACCATGAGGATCGTGAAATTTAGCTTTCTTCTGATCGGCCTGAGCTTGTTTTTCCTTGGGTCGATAGAAGATAGTTGGAATAGAGATCATAGCAACAATACTAAGCAATTCATCAGAGCAACCGAGGTCAACAGCTGCAATGAGAACTTTTGAAAGAGATGGTTCCATAGGGAAATCTGCCATCTTGCGACCCAAACGAGTAAGAAGTCCTTCGTCGTCCAATGCCGAAAGAGCATATAATTCTTCCAGGGCTGTCAACATGGTATTTGTTGGAGGTGGATCCATGAAGTCGAAATGAAGCAAATCATTAATGCCCATAGCCTTCAACATCAAAATAGTCGTGGATAAGTTTTGTCTCTGGATTTCCGGTATACTAGTAGGTAACATCTCAGATTGGAAAGCTGCTTCTGTGTAAAGACGGAAACATTTTCCTGGGCCTGTTCTTCCAGCACGTCCTGCACGCTGTTTGGCCTGTGCTTGAGAAATTGGGGTAACTATCAACGAGTCCATACCGAGTTTTGGATCGTAAGCATTCTGCTTGACAAATCCAGGATCAATAACGTAATAAATATGATCGATAGTAATAGAAGTTTCGGCGATATTGGTAGCAATCACCACCTTTCGAGCTCCAGGAGGTGCGGGGTCAAAGATCTTACTCTGCAACTCTGTAGGAAGTGAGGCATAGACAGGAAGAATAATTAACTCCGGAACACTAGGTCCAAGTGCTTTCATACGCTCGTAAAGAATTTCACAAGACGTGTCAATTTCCTCACTACCAGTTAAGAAGAGTAAAATATCTCCAGGAGGTTCTGTCAAATGAATTTGCATAACCGTAACCAGAGCAGCATCAAGATAATCAGATTCAGGCTCCCTGGAGTACATGACCTCTACAGGGAAAGTTCGACCAGGAATAGAGAAAATAGGACACTCATTGAAGTATGACGAAAATTTGTCAGCATCAAGAGTCGCAGATGTAATGATGATTTTTAGATCTGGTCGACGTTTGATAGTTTTCTTCAGCAATGCAAAGAGAACATCTGTAGAGATGGTACGTTCGTGAGCTTCGTCCAGCATGATGACTGAATATCGTTTTAAATCAGGATCCATCAATACTTCTCTCTGTAACATTCCGTCTGTCATGTACTTGATCTTCGTGGCTGGACTAGTACAATCTTCGAATCGAATAGTATATCCAACCTCTTGACCGAGCTCACAACCAACTTCTTCCGAGACACGCTTTGCAACAGACATTGCAGCAACACGACGTGGTTGGGTACAACCAATTATGCCATTGTTAGCAAAGCCAGCCTCTGCTAAATATTGGGTTAATTGAGTCGTCTTTCCTGAACCAGTATCACCAACGACGATCAGAAGTTGATTTTCATGAACAGCCTTGATTAACTCGGAGCGGAACCTGAACACTGGGAGTGACTCTCTTTGATCTTTGATGGACATATCCGTACGGCGACCTAGAGGTTCATTCTTATTCTGAGTAGCCTTCTTCCAAGCAGGTACGACTTCACTACTGGGTGCTTGTTGTTTTGCAGTTCTAAGATCACTAGCAAACTGTCTTTGATCTGGATTCGCCATCGGATCATTCCATTGGGCGGAAAGATCAACCTTCGCTCCATCTTCCGTAGCTTTATCTTGAGCTTCTTGTTGTTTCAATTCCCTACGGTCTTTAGCTAGAGTCGTACCTGCCATAGCAGCGCGATTAAGTGAGCCATCAGGAGCTTTTACGACTCTGATTGGAGACAACTCCAAAGACTGTTTCGTTTGTCCGGTCAAGAAAGGAGGCTCTTCTTCTCGAATCTCAATATCAACATCTTCTTCGAGCTCCATTTCACCCTCACCATTCAGTGTCGCATTATAGTCTTCGTCTAGATCTGGGTAATCCGATGCTTTTACCACACCGGATGCGATCAGTTGTCGAATCTCCCATCTTTCGGGAGATGTCATTCTCTTCTTGTTCTTCCTCGAATTTCGCGACATTTGTCCTTCGAATACCGGCACAGGCTCATCAATTAAACCATACTCGTTCTTGCTACCAAGAGGAGCACTGTTAGCCCCAGAATGAAATTTCTCTTGGGGAGCCAAATCCATCCCAGTTTCTTGGTCAACCTCCTTCATTGAAAGTCCGATTCTGTTGCCCTCTACTTTAATGACTTTGACTTTGACAGGTTGGTTTCGCGAAACAAGATCCGATGGGTGATTTACTCGTTGCCCTTCCACTAATGCCGAAACATGCACAAGTCCATCAACCTTACCCTTCACACCGTGTATATTAACAAAAGCACCGAAATCCTTGACACTAGTGACATGGCCGTCATAAATTTTCTGTAAAATAACTTCATCATCAATTTCGGGAGAACGTGGTCGTTTGTAATCATTGTCTTCTCTTTTCCTCCGGCTACTTTTATGACTCTTTCGCGTCCTCCCAAATTCGTCTTCTTCGTATTCGTGCTTTCGAGGCCTCCTTGGTTCATCTCCGGACCGTGATCTAGATCTATGCCTATCTCTGCGACTTCGTCCTCTGTCATAATCTTGATCTGGACTCCTACTTCGTTTTCTGTTTTCTCTTTCAAGCTTCACCGGTTGCGCCTTGGGTGCTAAACCTTCTAGTAAGGCAAGTGTATCATCAACAGGTTGCGCCTTGGGTGCCAGACCTTCCAATAATGCAAGGGTATCGTCAATTGCATCAGTTCCATTCATTGGGTGGTCTTTCGAGTATTCGTCTTCGTCTTGCCATGCCGGTTTCTTGTCGGGTAATGCCAGACCTTTAAAGACCTTCGTTTTCTCTTCAACTTTGAGGTTTCCATTTTCAGCTGATGCGCCATTTCTACCTTTGCTACCTTTGAACTTCGGATGCATCGTCGAAACCAGGCGATCCACACTCTCGACTAAACTTTGAGGAAAGTCTCCGCCAATTGCTTCGAGCTTCTTCTGGAATTCTTCGAGAGAACTGCATTCTGTACGTTGCGCAATAACGAATTCGGCGAGGGTTTTATCACTTATTCCAAGATGATTATGCAGTTCAGAGGCCACTCTCTGGACCAAAGAAAGGATTTCGAGAGATTCGAGGTCGTCCATTTCGAAGATGGCAAAGTAGGTATTGCTGCTTGTCGATAAACTTTTGAGGTTCAACAATCAATAAGACGCCGAGGCGCGCTTAAACTTATCTCGCTAGTGTAACAAGCGCCAAACCTCAACTTTTACCCCTGTCAATTAATATGTATGATGTAACAAATCGAGCGTGCCTTGAGGGGACTTTTTTTATGGATATTCATGAGTATAAAAAGTATAAAGTATTTGTGTTACAGAAAGGTTTTTAAGTCATCTATGAGCCGTAATCGAGATGTAAAGGTAACACAAAGTGCGTGGACCGAAAAGAATAGCTTTTTATAAAGTCATATTTTTACCTCGATTCTTGGAAGTTCCAAGAGGCGAACTCGAATTGGAAGCATGGAGTAGCATCCGTCTAGGGAAAAAAGTATTTGAGACGACTAGGTAGTGCCTATTCATTAATACTTGAAATTAAAGGGCGAAGTTCAAGAATATCTATATTTTCATGAATCAAATTACGAGCACGTCCGAAATTCAAGTTGACAGTACGACCTTCAAAGAGAATAATTTTGTACCACAGCTAGCATAATCTTAACTCTAGCTTGATCGTCCGGCAGCAAAAAAATGATCCCTTCACACCAGCAAGAATGGATGAGAAAGTCTTGTTCGAAGACTTTATGTCAGAGGCTTCAGTTGACGCTTGATCGCAATACATGCCAATTCCTACTAGTATTGATGGGATCTCGCCAGAAAGGTCAAATCAGTTCGTGCCCTACGTTCACCTATCAGCTGCCCTGTCTGGCTGTTTTACCCATGACATTTTTTCAACGGCTTTCGATGAGTTCTAGCAATTTCTTTCATCCGAGCCCGGGACTTGTATATGAACTCAGAATTACTATTGTACGTACACGAATGATTATGCCCGAAGTATGCTCCTCTACCAACTTGCAAGAATAACACTTTGATCTTTACTGCCTTCGCTGGTTGTTCATTGATTTGCCACAA